GTCCTAGTGGGGTCCCCCAGGTCTCAGTATTAGGGCCTCTTCTCTTCTTGATTTACATAAACGATCTTCCTCAACAGGTAATGTCAGACTTATTACTTTTTACCGACGAGATGAAACTTTGGAGAGAGATACGCAACCAAGACGATACACAGGCACTTCAGGAGGATCTGACTGGACTTCAAAGTTAGGCAGATGATAACGGACTTACCTTTAACACTTCAAAGTGTAAAGTAGTCCATCTGCGACATGTCGCGAACTACAGTTACAACTTAGGAAACTCCTCTCTAGTAGTATCCCAAGTCGAAAAAGATTTAGAAGTCCTGGTGCCCCATGATTTAAAGTCTTACGCTAATTGTGACAAAAATGTCTTCCGAGCAAACCTTGCTCTGGTAACATTGAAGCACATTTTTGGCCAGTTTGACGGAAGAACTTTCCATACAATCTTCAATAGTTTTATCCGTCCCCATTTAGAGTACGGAAATATAGTACTCCCCCACTCACTCCAAAAGGGCAAGGTCACTTTGGAGCGTATCCAACGGTGAGCCACGAAATCAATTCGCGGACTCAAATCTAAGCCTTACGAAGAACGCCTCCATTCACTAGACCTTCACCCATTAGAGTATAGGCGTCCTAGGGGTGATTTATTAATGGCTTATAGTATTCTTAACACTTCTGGGCATCCTCTTAAACACCTACTCAAGCTTAGTTCGAATAGTAACCTAAGGGGTAACACCCAGAAACTGGAAACTGAACATAGCAAGACGGGATGTAGACACAACTTCTACTCCTTAAGAGTTGTCAAAAGCTGGAATTCGCTGCCGGCCGAGCTAGTCCGAGCGACTTCTCAGGAGTCCTTCAAGAAGCAACTTGACCTATTCTTAAGGACCAAGGACAGTATCATACTATGATTTACCAATTTCTTTTCCTCTTTTTATTGTTAACATACCTAGGTTCCTGCCTGGAGGATTTGGTAATCTTCTGCTACTGGACACGGAAGCCTGTTAAGCGAAAGCTTTTTCTATTCCGTCCACAACCATTTGAACCATTAAAAGACGGATATTCTAACCCCTGAAGTTGACATGAAATCTGGCACAAATCTAATTGAAAAATGAGATAATTCTGTGTTTTACATCAGCCAGTTTTTATTATGAACTGAACTGATGTTCTTTCTGGTATCTTGAGGACTAACCCAAGTATTAACTTCTCTGTAGATAACCACCATCTCCCACAACCTAAACTCAAATCCGCGAGAACCAACAGATCTCCGATTCTGTTCAGTAAATTTTAAAGGATTTTCGTAATGAACTATTATGAAGGCTGAGTTTCAGTTTATTCATACTAACTAGTCATAAAAACACTGAATAAATATATTCGACATTACTATTTCAGGAGCATATTTCAAGAATAATCTTGTAAGTACGAGGTTTAATGTTGAAGGTTATAGGATGAACCGCGGTACTCGAGAGTAGACGTAAGTTCCTATTTGACTATTTGTGTCTGAATTCCTCCATAAACTCTTAACTTTTGTGCAAAGTTGCTTGTTTTATGTATATGAGATGTTGATATCCGTCCATGTTTTGCAATGTGGTCAGTGCAATTGAATGTTTTGACTACTTTAAGTGATAAAATACACTCACAATGGCTTGTGTTTTGTTTACATGCCTGATATCTTACGCAAATATATTACGATATTAGTTTTTAAATCAATACGGTTGTTTTATGCCTAGTTTTAGACAGTTCTAGTTCCGAAGAGATGGCAGGTCAATCCTTTCAGAGTCAAGAACGTTGAGATTTCTTAATCTCCATATTTTGAGGAACGCTTGGGGAATTCTGGGTAAATTTTGGGGTTTTCCCCAAAGTCTAGGGAAAATTTGAGAAAAAATCCCAATGTTATAGGGTTCTGGGGAGATATTGGGGAAAATCCGAAGTTTCTCCAAATATTTTGGGAATTTTCTTCGGACCTGGGGAAATTTTCAGGTCTTCCCCCCAAATTTACTCAAAACTGACAAAATGTTTCCTCAAAATAGGGAGATCGGTACATGACATTTTTCTTCGTGGAAGCATACAAATCGACCGTATTGTATTGGCAAAGGTTTTAGAAACATATAGACCGTTAGATTTAATACACTGGGGAGTTTTCGACTTAAAACGTAAAACAGTGTATCCATGATTTCCTCACTTAAGGAGTGGTAGTGATCCACTAGCCATTAAATTTGATAGTAGTTGTTAAACACTATTTATTCTATATTGCGGAATGACATTTTGGTGAAAACCTCAAATTTTTCTCGCAGCAATTGCAAACTTCTTGGTACAAGCTCGAGATAGTGATGTCCATAAATCCGATGTTTATGATCAGTTAGCATAAATAGAGTGAAACTCAGCCTTCATAATAGTTCATTACGAAAATCCTTTAAAATTTACTGAACAGAATCGGAGATCTGTTGGTTCTCGCGGATTTGAGTTTAGGTTGTGGGAGATGGTGGTTATCTACAGAGAAGTTAATACTTGGGTTAGTCCTCAAGATACCAGAAAGAACATCAGTTCAGTCCATAATAAAAAAACTGGCTTATGTCAGACGACATAATCTCTCTCAGTTGTATTAGTTCTGAAGCGGAATTCAAGTCACTTTTTAAATAACTAACAAAAGCCCCCATAACTTTATCCCTGAGAAGTGGATTGTTTTAGAATTTCGATTTATGATGGGAAGGTTCATGTGTGCACTGCCTTTATTATCATCCCATATATGGTTTATTTTAAAGTACGTTACTGATTTGCTGTGATGAATAAGGTTATAAGTTGTATGAGAGCGTTGCCATATATTTCATATTTCCCTATAGTACACAAATTGCGGGTTCGATGAATTTAGATTAGGTGCTCGGGGTATTATTCTGTTGTAAAAGAGGTTTTGGTTGCTCTTTGCATTTTCATTTTTAGGGTAGTGATATACTTAAGATGAGGGGAGACTAATGGTTAGGAGTATTTAGAGGAATTTTAATAAATAGCGAGACAGGAAATGCAGCAAGATAAAATATTGCGGTAGTATGCTTTGAGATGCAGTCCAATAGAAAAACATGCTCCTGTGGCTTTTATTCCGTTCTGTACACCAGGGCCCCCAAATGCTCTGGTATGGCCGAGAGTGGGGAGAGTCAGCTCTCCCTCTCGAAATGCTCTCACATAGACACGTGCATACAACCACTACCAGGGAAGTCCTACTGACTGCCATCTCACAGCGGGGCTGTTTTTCACGAAATCGAGAGGACGCAAAGCGAAGCTCCGGCGCTTTAACCGGGTTGGTGGACACAGAGGGTCCTCCTAAGGGAGTTGGAAAGCCCTGATTCCAAACCAATGGTGCACATGTGCTCCATTATCCTGTGGGAAAAATGGCGTATGAACCAATCGTTGGACTGCATCTCCTTACGTTGCTCCACAGTCTTGTGGATCAGACCTTTAGGTCGAAGGCTCCGAGTGTGACCCCTTAAGAAAACTACCTGCTTCGATTTGGGCACTCGGGCAGTATCCCAGCCCCACCACATAAATCGAATGATTTGTGTGGCGTATATGTACCTGGTGCCTCTTTTGTACCAGTATTTATGTGTTCAAATAAATAAATAAATGTGAAGCATGGTTCGGTCCTGGGACTTTGTGGCTGAAATTCGGACGCCTTCTCATATGATATCTCCCTTTACGCTTAAAGTTGGTCCTTGCTAAGGATAAATAGTTGTCTGAAGATGGTTGCAACAGATGGTCACCGTTGTCTTTTCGTCGAGCTGGGACACTGGAAAACCCATTTGTCTTTCACTTTGACCCAAACTGTCTGCTCGAGCGTCATGCATAAATCAGCGAGGCCAAGACAGGTGTGATCCATGGTACGCGGAGATTAAGTTGCTCTGGTTCTCTGCATTAAGTAGATGAGGTCAAGTGAGTGGCCACACTGGAATTCTGTGTACTTGTTTCGGAGATAGCATACATTGATGGGATAGGATTCTGGGATTCTAGTCAAGGTAGCTTGTTAGTTTATTTATCATAAAATCCTAACATTCAAAGCTCCAACATGTAATCTAGAGTGTGGTTTTAAGAAATTAAGATTAATATCTCATGGGCTAAAATACTTATCACTAGTGGTACATGGAGTTAAATAAGAGAAGGATAGATGGACGTTAAGAAGGAATATTAAGTTAAAAAGTAATTCAACTGTGAATAATAAGATCTCTAGTACTGTCAGGTTTGAAAGCGACCGTCGCTTCCCAGTTGCCCGCACTATGGAAGGATGTTTTCTCCTTTAAGGTTAGTGATGGTCTTAGCAACTTGGGCACGTGACCACAGAATCCGAGCAACAACTTGAAGCCGGTTACATGCAACCTTCCTATGAATTTTTATGTATTGTCTCCGTGCTCCAAAAAGTTTCACCGCCGGTGACTGGAATTCATAGTGTAAGATGAGGTGTGACATACGAGGTTCTATATTACTTATGACTTGGTACTGTAATAAATTGTTAGGCCGTACATCAGTCACTGATTCAGTGTAGCTTTTGGAGGTTTCTCAAGTCAAGTAATATTCTTAAACCATAATGGGTAAATATGTGAATAGTTCGGTGAATTAAATATGAATATGGTTATCAAGTCTCACCTATTTCCGAAACGTTTTTCTGGCTTGTGCTCTACATCATATCAGGTAAGAACTTCAAATGCGTGCATGTAAACATTCATTTTTTAGTATCTTGGTTGCTAGTCATCAAGGTTTTCGATTTAAAAAGATAGAAAATTTACTTTTTTTTTTAACTTGCTGGTAATTCTGAATCAGATTTAATTATGTGTTCATTTTCATTGGATGAATGGTAATCAGTTTTATCTTGCGATTTATTCCATTGTCAAGCACCTATGTTTACGTTTCATAACTTGATATTCATCTATTTCTTTTGTGGTTATTTTTCAGTGTCTAAGCCGAAATGAGCCTATGTCTTATCACTGTTTACTACATAGTATACATACATGTATGAGTAGATGGATGAACTACCTGCTATTCAGTTATCCGATCTAAATGAATTTATAACATGTAAATTATGTAAAGGTTATTTAATTGATGCTGTTTCGATAACTGAATGTCTTCACCCATGTAAGTGGGATATTTCTTGCCTTGTAATATACATTAAATTTTTTAGTCTGTAAATCTTGTATAGTTAAGTATTCAGAAGAAAAACGCGAATGTCCTGTTTGCGGGATTCTCATCCATCAAAGTCACCCATTAAATTACATGAGGTTTGTTTCACTTAATAGTTTTATGTTTTCTATTTTCATATGATAATAGTTTTGATCGTACTCTTCAAGATATTGTTTATAAAATTGTACCAGATTTAAGACAAAGTAAGTGTACTATTCGCCTTATTTAACAAAACTTTATGTAGAAGAGAGACAACGTCGTGAGGTCTTCTATAGATCTCTTGGGAAAACTCCACCTCCCTCAGAAGGTAATATTAGTACAGTAATTTATGAATTAATTAAATGTGTCATGATATACCCGTTAAGTCACTTTGGCTGATTTATTCAACTGAGGAAAACGGGAAATTTTAGTTGATGATTTACTATATAGTCTATGATAACCATTTCCACCTTCCTAATCATGTAGTCCTTTCTTATTCAATGTAGTGTTTCCTCAGAGTCGTTAATTGTTTGGGTGCGAATGTTATCAGGTCTCAGCGGACGTTCATACAATGTTACTTACGTGTAGCTTTCATTTGTCTTTCCATTGTTCTTCGTATCTTTAGTTACTTTATTACTGGCACCGGTATTAAGGTGGATTCGATTGGGTATGTAATTTAAGGAACAGTTTCTTATAGTGAAAATATTAGTCTGGGAACTAACACTACAAGCCACACTCAGAATACTTAACAGTACTAATTGGATCTATACCGTATGAAAAATTAACTTCCGATCCTATGTTAGTCGCTATTTCTAGTTTTACTGCTTTTGGTATGACGTACCACACTCTAGAACCAGAGGGTTTAATAGTTTTAGCTGATAGAATCGATATAAGTCAGTGTACCAGACTGGCTTGACCCACTACGTTTACATAACTCAAATCAGTATATGTGATCAAAAAAGCCGAATACTGCATCAAGATACTAGTTGTGTTTACATATTTTCGTGCAATATGACAGTTGTAGTTTCATGGAAATAGATTTTATATTCGTTTTTATAGCACTAGTTTCGGCTAGAAGCTTTTTGGTGTTTCTACTTTAGGAATCAACTTGTAATCATAATATCTAACCAATCCACTGATTTCATCATAATTTAGGTAAAGGACTTGATAGATGATGTATAGGGTAGCTCACAGAATATATGTACTCATACACTTATGTTTGACTCTTGCAAATTGCAAGAATGTAAACCACACATGAAATATAAAAGTTTAGTATGTAAATGGATTGAATAATTATAGATATGGTTGGTTTAAAGTTGTATAACAATTCAGGTCTAGGCACTTAGGTTACTAAGGATAACATTAACATTACAGAGTAACTTAAATTGATCTAAATGTTTACAGTCTGATAACTGCTGATAAATAATGTATGAGTCCTAAACATATTTTGAGAATTCTGTAGGTTATATCAAGCATGTTAATTACACTATTCCAGTCATTGCTCGTTGGATATTTTTGAATAGATCAATTTTTGTACTAATGATATTTTTGATGTTTCCGAATTTGTTTGTGATTATTTCGATGAAAATTCAACAGACTTAGGCAAAGAAACTCATGTATTAGTCAGTAAAGAGAATATCACAGGTGCAGTTCCATCTGATTCTGACGGATTAACTTCCAATTTTGATTCGGATTATCATCGTAAAGATGAACAAGTCAATATACAACTTGAACCGGGATCTGATAATCTGGAACCATTAACTGAGAAATATTTACGACTTTCATCGAGGGCTACAGTGACACATTTACGAAAATATGTTGCCCAACAAGTTCTTCATGATATATCTAAGTTTCATGAAGTACGTCAAGTGATTTTTTTCTCCCTCATTAAAATTTTGATGTTTCAGTATTTGAATTGAACATTCTAACGGAGACGTATTCTTTTAGTTATTAGGCTGTATATTTTCTTCATTTATTTGCACTTCATTGTACACAATCTGAAAAAATGATTAGTTTTTATTCTATTGAAGAAATTTCAAATTCGATAAATAGATATATCTCAGTCAGTTAGAGGTATGTGGTGGGTTGTCGATTCTAGGTTTCGCATGTCTTCGAAGAATATTTTTTTTGAGGTTCATGAAAAGGAAACTGGGTTATGAGTGATCTTGAGGTCCTGGTAGTATGATTGCATTGCCCAAGAGACACTTATTTTTGGCCGGTTACAAGTCCTTTGTATAGGGAGTTGTAGATTAGTTAGTTTCGTAGTTTTGAGGCCTAACTGTCGTCGATGGAAATCCTTGGGGGTAAGGTGAAGTGTGTTTTTTATGGCCAACTTTTGTATTCCTCCTTACATTGTGAGACAGGATCTCTTGAGATGGCGTTTGAGGGAAACAGCTTACTGCCACCATATTCCAGTAGTGTCAGAAGCACAACCTCGCCCTTCAACCTTAAGTTGCTTCTCTCCAACTGGCATTCCTGTCATGTTAATATTTGAAGAAACAAGTGTCAGCCAATAAGTTTCAGTTGAGTCGTCGTGATAAAGAAGCCCGACCATCACATCAAGATAATACCTACGTTTGGGATCAATGTGCAATTATTAAAAAACGGCGTTTCATAATGATGAGCTGTGTTATGATAGCTTAATATCAACGCAGTTTGAAATAGTGTTTTATTTCGTGAATACCTACATACGAAAAACTAATAAAATCAAAACTTTATCTAGACTATTGTTCCATACAATGTCGATTTCGGGAGCTAAGCTCAAATGGATTTTTTATTTCTTGGCAAATATGTTATCATCAGTATAGGGTTATGGAGATTGCTGAGTTGTCTAGAGATTAGGCGTTCGCGTGCGAGACCGGAGGTCCTAGGTTGGATTCCCACGTGTGGGATCGTGGATGCGCACGTCTGAGGAATCCCATACTAGGACAAGGCGGCCGTCCAGCACTTTTAGGTTTTCAATCGTGGTCTAACATTAATTGGTCCACGATCTCAATTAAGAATATTCTTGTTGGGTCATTTGGTCGGATATAAGTGATCGTTCTTGTATCAGCTTTGGTTGAGATCATGAATGGATCAATGTTAGACCACCATTAGAAACCTGAAAGCACTGGATTGCCGTTTCGTTATAGCATGGATCTTCTCAGCAGTGCGCGTCTACGATCCCGCACGTGGGATTCATACTAGGACCTTTGGTCTGGCGCACGAACTCTTAACCTCTAGATTACTGAGTCGGCATCCAACGGTGTTAATGTCTAACTTCAACCAATCCACGATATTGTGTGACTGTGTTTCATTGTCTTCAGTGATTAACTGCCTCTGAACAGACAGTGGAATTCAAGTTGTCACGACTTTTCAATAGAACTTCAGGAAATCCATCTTGAAGCTAGTAACTAGTGAGCACATGATAATTATGGGTATAGGGTTGTGGAGATTGTTGAGTTTTGATTGAGATCCTGAATGGATCAATGTTAGACCACCATTGGAAACCTGGAAGCACTGGGTGTTTCGTCAGATTTGTGATGCAAACTCTTAGTGTAGTAGTCTAGGTAAAAACAACTACTCTTTAAGGGGATTTATTGTTAAATATATGAAAATATTCAATATAGTTACGATGTTTAATAGAACGAGCCTGGAAAATCTAAATCACTCAAACGACTTAATTGCGAAGCTGTCTTCGTTCAACTCAGAGAGTACAACAACAACAACAAAACCATCCATTTGAGCTTCAAATCTCCATAATTTCTGAGTATATATGTTTTCTTGATAAGCTAAACTGACCTACTACGCAGTGAATTTTAATAAATTGTGATAACCAAATGAAAGGTTTTACAGTACACTTTGAAGAGGTGTGTGCTTAAAAACAGTCAAAAAGAAGGGCCCGGAATTGAAATAGGAGTTCGTACAGAAATAGTTGTTAATATAAAATAGTAATTACCCAGGAACTATGCAACAACAAAATGACGGTTCACGGACAATACGTAAAAATACCTTAAGTCAAATTAACAGAAATAAAATGTAGATAGTATTTAAAGGGATGATTTATGGAAACCAAAAAACGAACACAATACATAAATGCGATCTCGATTGGTCATAATTAGTTTGAGGATAAAATGGCAACTGTCTCTTCAATTTATATTTCTCTGTCATTGAGAAACACTGTCATAATTCCATATAGTGCTACATAAAAACCTAAAGAGTTTTGGTTTCGTCTCATTGCTTTTTGTCAAATGTGATCGTCTATTGAAATTCCATGCTATAATCTGCAATACAAGTTGTTAAAGGATTAATCATAGTATTTCTAGTGTCCAAACATTAGATGTTTAAACTATAAGGGGACATTCCGGTTCGCACTAATTCATTAGTACCGTTATTATTATTTTTTAAAGGTCACAGTTAATTGGTAGACAGTATAATAAGCATATAACCTAAACATTCCACGTATCGTAATATGGTTTTTCCCATTCTCGGTATATACTAAATTTAATCATTTTATTCGCATGTTTATTCCTCTAGTTTAACATTGTTTTTGTTACAGTCTTCACTGTTTCTTTCTTTTTTTGTTCTATTTTTATTAAATATATGTAGATTGATATTTTTATACAAAATAATGAAGATGGTACTTTTCTTGGTCGCGATCATGTATTGAAATTTGTTCGTGTTGTTTATTGGAATGATGTAGGTGTTAATGTTCAATAAAGCTATCTTAATAATTGCACCAAACTATTAATTAAAGTTAAAACTTTTTATCATTGAATCTCGTGCATGTTCCAAAACCTAAAGTTCTTGGTTTTGGTTGTATGTGTGTTTACGAAGGACGAGGTAAAAGAGGAGTTCCGGATGCTCACTGCTAAGAAGTCCCCTGCTAGGACGAAATGGCTATTTCATTGCACCCTAGTTTTCAATGATACTCCAACTGAGGTCGATTTTTGACGAACACAACCTATAGAATTCCCATAATTCTTGTAATCCATCTTTATTGTTTCATATGGTTATTTTTCTCTTAATACATCTTTTGCTTTTTTCATTTATAGGTCGAACCGATGCCACTGCAATATCGTTACAGCAGAATGATTTACTAAAATGAATTATTTCTATCTTTCAAAAAAATGTTATTTTCCCTTTTTGTTTTGTTTTCTTTTTTAAATTCATATTTACCACTGTGTTGATTTTATTTCCATGTCCTTCATCGATAGATAAAATACTATGATATATGTACAACAACCACAGTACTACAATAGATTATGTGGATAAAACAACACCATCGTATAATTGATTTTTTATTTGTTTGTTTTACTCTTTATTGTTTCCATCTGTACGTAAAACAAACAAAAAAAGAAGTCAGCAAATCTATTGCAGTTAATTGTAAATTATAGGTTTGATAATAAGTAATTTTGTCATCCTTATTGTATATGTATATATTATACATAACATGACGTATTCTTTTTTTTTACACTGTGAATAATAATTTTTACAATTTGTAATTTATGATAAATGCCTTTTATTACACGCGTTGTTAATGAAGAAGAAACTAAGAAACTATTTCAACATATATTTGTTACTTTTTACTATTTATGTTTGACTGAATGTTGTATGTTTCTTAATGTTATGTAATGGTTACTATTTATTAGTTGGGGTTATTTATCACTTTTTTAAAAGAAATGACTTACAGCATGATTTTTAAAAAAAATCATTGCGATAACTAACCAAACAATGGAATTTGTTGGATTGTATTATCCATTCATCTATCCATCAATTTAGCTTTATCATTCGGAGTGATAAGCCAATAAGCGATGAAAAAAGTAATGAGTTAATTATTTAGTGAGATGGACACGTTCAGACCTGTTGGAACTGCTTTCATAATGATAATAATAATAATAAAAAGCTTACGAATTATTATGTTACCTCTTCGACCTTTTTAATCCGATCCACTCTATTTACTACATAATGCGTTGATTGCAACAGTGTGTATGTTGGTAATAACACTGTTTTTGCTTGTTAGTCTAAACCTATGTTCTAAATAGTGTCATATACAAAGTTGGAGTCATTGATGGCATGTTAATGAGAATTAATGTTAGTTTTGTACATATTAAATCAATTGTTTATTAGTTTTTAAATCTTGTTAAGTCTACTTTTCTTCTCAAACTTCTGAATTCTGTCTTTCTCAGTTATATACTTCGGTTTTTCTTATTTATTTTGCTACTCCACTTGTTTTAATACAGTACTACCTACCACCGTTCTGTGTTGTTTTAGTCAGTTAGCCAAATTTGATATACTGATTAAATTCTTTGAATAAATGTTAAGAAATATTAAGTCCTATTGTTTGTTTACTTGAGAACTTGGTGCCAAAATTGCGTTAGCGAGTGATTGTTTTTAACTTTGAGTCACACTTTAAGTATGAGGGCTAGGGATAATACCTGGTTGCCGGAACTAAATTAGGTGGAGAGGCGTTTGAACTTGTGAATTAGTGACTGAGATTCAAACACTGTGACCACTAAGCCGCCGCCATACTATCACTTAACAATATGAAATGTTTGGAAATGCTTACATAAATCTCTAGTGGAAAACTTTGAAAAGGAAAGTACTTCACATTACTCATTAGGGTTGGAAATGTTTAATAACTGATGTATTTCATGCCTTTTGTCACCCATATTTAGGTGCCACTTTTATTAATGGTATGGGCGACATTACTTATAATTGATCATAATTTACAGAAATGTAAAACTTTCCTCTTTTTATAGGATCTTCAAAAATTGCATTATGTACCTACTGCTGGGTGATATTTTGTGCTTCATGCTAAAATCTTTGTAATTTTTGTGGGACATGCCAGAATTGTACAATGAGCTGTCATGAGTGTTCCTGAGTTCAGACTCTTTGTTAGATGTAGAATTATTCCTGGATTTTTTGTAAAATACCTTATTATGCTGAACATTTTAATATGAACTTCCAAATAGTGTTTCTTTCTTTTAAATGATCTAGATTCATAACTTGTTGCTTATTATTTACATAGTATAATTCAATCCCCGTTTATATCATTCGTTAAGCTTTATTTTTGAAGGACTGAAGGTATTTTTTTGATCAAGAAGTAAATCTACATAAACTATTATGCATTTTTAATAATTACAAATTAACTGGATTTGTTTGTAAAATATTATCTGAAAAAGGTGATCTCACAGCGTAGTTCAATTGAACCAACAATCAGTAAATTCCATTCTATCCATTTCAATTAGGTAAACATAGTAATTTTGTTAGCCTTTAAACGTGACGTTTAACTTGATGTCCTACTGTCTTCTGGTGTTTTTTTTAAAAAATACCTTTAAATAATTTTAATAAATATGACCACTGATTGAACAATGTTCTGTGATTTCGATTTTTGATATAAAATCGATATCACCTTTTTGATTAATTTATTTTCTTTGAAAACTTACAACATAAGTTGCATTTTTTTTTCTCAATGAACAATTTTAGATAAAGGCAAATAGTATCTTTCCTGTCATTTAATGGTGCTGTAATCGTTAGATTAGCATCATTTGGTCACCTTTGAAATTGAGGATTTAAAACTGAGGTGCGTTCATTTTTCTTTGAAAAATAATCTATTATTGTTCTCATGTACTGTTTTTCATTACTAAATTTAACAGTATTTAATTGACCTTTGAAATAGACTTTCGTTGATCGCAATTTGTTTTTTCTTCTTCTTCATCAGTTCAGTTAAATGAGGAACTTATGTTTTCCTTTCATAATCTATAAGTTTTACCCATTATTGTTTAGAAGTTGGGACAGGGAAACTGATTTTAGGTGTTTATACGACAATAATTTTATTTAGTCTTTAATAAATGTATCTTATATCATTTACGTGAATTGTCCTAAAAAAGTAAGCATTTAAATCTGACAATTTCCGTGATTTTAAATTCTGATTGTCACTTATTATTGTTTAAACCTTTCTAAATTTGGTGGGTAATTTGTGTTGGAACTAAAATCTACAAGTTACCTGCTATTGTATATTGTTATTCACAATCCATCACTTTGTGTATCTCTGTTAAGAGATGGTCACGGACCATATATTATTGGTTTTATAATATTTCTTTATTATCACGACTGACCTTGTTTTAAACTCTTGATGTGATCAAAATGCATGGATTCTTTTTTAAAGTTACATCAGACATTGTTAATTTAACACTTTATCTTGTGAATTTGCACTAATCTTTTTATTTTATTCATAAATATGTGCGTCTTCCTGTTGTTGATATTATAAGCACATCCAGTTGACAAGTCGCCCATGTAGCATAAATTGCACTCTATGGACTCCACTGTTATCCACTACTCAACTTTACTCAAACCCTGTTATCTGTTAATTTTGACAATGAAACTTCCTTTCACTTGTCTAAGTTTAGTTTCAGAAAAAAAATTAACAAAGGCAAATATTTGCGTAGGGTTAGGGCGTTCAACTTTTAACTTATAGGCGACAAGTTCAAATTCGACTCCGTGTATTTTGGTTTAAAAAGACGGCAGTATCACTAGTCCGCACACGTAATTTTCTTGATTTAAAGCCAAGTACATGAATATGTGATTGTTAACTGAATTATTCCAATCAGTTAATATTTATATATGTTTCTGTTGTCAACACCAATCAAGGTGGCATATTTTATACTTCTTATTTTACATGTGCTAAAAACCAACACTTGGGTATTCTACTTTATCTCATTTTATGTTACATATTATATGATAGTTATTAATTTAAACAATGCGTTATCATCCAATTCATAAATCTCAAGACGACCGTTATGGTAAGCAGCCGATTTTTCTAGTGTTCTATCGTTATTATTACTGTTATCTCGCTCAACTTGATACTTTTTGTTGCTGTGTCCTAACTTAATCTAAACCTTTCGCTTATATCTTTTTAATGCTGTATGTATATTATACAAAATCTGCCAGTTTGAGTTCCCGTTTTGCAAAAAATCTCTAGATATTCTCTAAATAACTGATTTTTATTTACAAGTACGTTTTCATCACGTTTACTTACCTGCGGAGAACTAATTAATGTAACATCAAATTTCAATTGCCAGCCATCTTCTAACATAGTTTATTATTTTAGTCGTATTTTCCTTTTACTCACTATCAGTTTTCCGCTTTGCTCTTTTTATGCTGAAATAACCCTAGTTTGCCTATTTTAGCATATAACACTGACTTCTATCAGGATTGATTAGTTTCTGATTGAGTCCCTTCAACAATTTATAGTTTAAAACAAATCTTGTAGGCAAATTTGAGCTTATTCACCGTTTCTATCTGTAAGGTGCAATCTACTGGATTTTCTCTCTATTACTAACTCAATTCGCTGGTTTCTTCTCAGTCATATTTAGTTAATGTTTCTTGTCATGTTTTCCGTTTCAATTGCTTGTACTGAAAATGTCTGCTTAAAAAGAGTCCTCATTATCATTCTTATCGTCATTATTGGTTATTGTTCCTGGTTAAATATTGTTCGATAGCTGAAATTAGTTATTGTTAAATCTTTTCAAAAAGCCTTATACAGTTTGTAATTATTTATAAATTTATGAGTGATAGATTGTTGAGGTTAAGTCCTCAAAACCAGACAATATTGGAAGACTTCCATAAACAGTGTCAGCTGCCGATTTTGCTTGTGTGGAATTTCTTACAACCTAACACATTAATTCTTGATCTATATGCAGTTGTAGTAGTTGTCAATGTGCATCAAAATAATCTTAAACTCGAACTTATAAAAAGTTCACCCAATTGTTGCGAGCAATGGTGGGCATTCAAAGGCAAAAAATTAGGAATGTCGGCGGTGGTAGGCAGCAGTAGACAACTTTTTAAATTTATCAAAGAACCAGGTATTGGAAATTCGGTAGTTAGTGAGACTTTTTGAAAAAGATGAGACAGTGATTCATTCTTGTTATGTCATACAGAATTGCTAATATATCACGTGATAAGATCGCCAATTAAAACACCGACTTATACGACCTTGGAACTGTGCCAAACCAATGGTGCGTTAACCGGTGCGAGTAGCTTATGATCAACTCTGAGACCTTATTAGTTCTTTTCGCTCAACCCAGTCTGTTCTAGTCTGGAACGCAATCTCAGCTTCCATTGTATGAATCATATACCTCAGACATATTTTGTTTATATACAATCAAATCAAACCGAATCATACCATAAAATAAAAAATAACAATTATGCAAGATCAAGCCAAAAGTTTCTGTGAGTGTGCGAGACTGTAGCTAATAAATTGGGAGTAACCCTAAGAATAGAAAATCGTACATTACTAGTCAATAGATCAAATAAAAGCTTATGACAAAAGGAATATATATATAGCTTTTGACTCTATACCAAGACAACGTTTACTTAACAAGTTAATCAGCGTCAACACTGACAGCTGGATAACCAACTGGCTATGTTCCTACCTCTCTGGAAGGGTACAGTACACTGTGTTTGGAGGAAAGTGTTCGGAGTCTCTACTGTCTCAGGAAGGTGTACCACAAGGAGCTGTTCTTTCACCTCTTCTATTCTCTTTTTTTCTGCATGACCTGCCATCTTCTACAGAAAACACTTTTGTGAAGTATGCGGATGATCTCACTGTATGTATGCCTATATCTTCCTCTTTACATCCCGTAGAAATGAATGAGTTTTTGTCTCATATTGATTGTTGGTCTGTTGGTAATGGTCTCATACTTAATCCGTCTAAATGTCAAGCTGTTAACTTTAGCATGAGACATGAACGGAATATAAACACCATTTTGAGATCCCATAATGCTTGTGCCATCGGAGACTCTTTCATAAACTCAGTGTCGAAGGTCAATTATCTTGGTGTCACCTTTTCCTCTGATCTGTCTTGGTCTTCCCACGTTTTATCGTTATCGAAGAAGGTTTTCCGTCTGACCTACTACATAAAGAGATTGCATGCTCTTGGGATTACTCGTCATTTACTCTTACAATTTGTCAATTCTTGCATTTTACCTATTATTCTTTACTGTTCTCCATTATTCTTTCCCGGGCTTTTGAGAAAAGACTTTGCTGTATTGCGAAGAGTGCTGAAGGCAGTTAGCAAGATGTGTGGTGAATCTTTCGAGGCCATAATTAATATGGTTGTGGATAGACATTTAAAATCATGCAAACTCCTGGCAGGTGTTATTTTATCAGATACTAGCCATCCCCTTCACTCTTATCTTTCTCCTTGTGTATCTTCTGGTAGAACGAGACGTAATTACATTAAAATCCATGCACGTAAGGAAAAGTATAAAAGTTCTATAATTCCTTACCTAGCAAATATACTATGTGACGAACAGGTTGTTAGAAATAACCTAGTTAATAACTTACATTCTTAACATGACTTTAATTTTAAAAAGTTTGCACACTTTTTTTGGTCTTTTTTTTTTAAAATTTATTTTTAAAAAAAAAAAACGTTTTTTTTTTTTAAAAATTTCTTTTTGTATTTTCTACTGCCTATTTGTTCGTTTTTTTTTGTTTTTTTTTCAGTAAGTAACTTGTTGAAATACCCTGTGCTGAGAATTCTATATTGTACCAAAAATATAATATTGAATAAAGCCATTAATAATAATAATAATAATAATAATAATAATATATATATATATATATATATATATATATATATATATATATATATATATATATATATATATAGGAGAGAGAGAAAGACAATATGAATATACACATAATATAGTTATCCAAAAGGAATGTATGTAATAATGGTTCATAGATAATTTCTATCGGTTACCATTCACTTATTCTTCTTTAGAATATGACAATCCCCAATCCAGGAAACTGGAACGATGACAGTTTTTATATCTTGGGTCTATTGGGCTAGCAATTATGAGGTTAGATGCAGAGCACTAGGCATATATGTCAGATCGATTGACATAGTGCATCTTTATCGAATTTATTTATTTATTTATTGAAACACATAAATATTGGTACAAAGGGGCACCGAATACATATGCGCCACACAAGTCACTTGGTTTATGTGTGGACTGTGGTACTGCCCAGACCGTTAGAACATGAATAACATACATCTATACACCAAATACTTCGACGCGTCATACTGACTGATGTAGGAGTAAGTTAGAACAAAGATAAGAACAGCCAAACCAAAACATGGTATCAGTCTATGAAGATACTGAATATTGGATTGAATCATGTTGGTAGGTACAGACTACCTGGATGGGGTCTGCATGATTGTCGTAACCAATGGTTTTAGACGTTGGGTGAAATGGGTCGAAAATGTTCGCAATAGAGTGGGTGCATTTCCTCTTTCTTTCTGATTAAATCTTACGTTTTTAAATTCCTCATAATTTTGTTTTTATTTCCAACCTTTTATTCACAATCATTCCTGTGACCACTAATACTGTCACTATCTCAATTAATCTGTGATTTGGCCTGACAATTATATTATACTGCACTGAGGTTGTGTAGTTTTAAGCGACATGCACAGGTCCCAGACTACTTTGCATTCGATCAACTGACTGACTGGCTGAGTTTTATTTATTTGTTTATTTAAACACATCAAGGAGGCATCAATTAGGTATGCGCCACATAAATCATTCGATTTGTGTGAGGGCTGGGATACTGCCCGGGTGCCTAAATCGAAGCAGGTAGTTTTCTTAAGGGGTCACACTCGGAGCCTTCGACCTAAAGGTCTGATCCACAAGACTGTGGAGCAACGTAAGGAGATGCAGTCCACCGATTGGTTCATACGCCATTTTTCCCCTCAGGATAATGGAGCACATGTGCACCATTGGTTTGGAATCAGGGTTTTCCAACTCCCCTAGGAGGACCCTCTGTGTCCACCAACCCGGTTAAAGCGCCGGAGTTTCGCTTTGCATCCTCTCGACTTCGTGAAAAACAACCCCGCTGCGAGAAGGCAGTCAGTAGGACTTCCCTGGCAGTGGTTGTATGCACGTGTCTATGTGAGAGCATTTCGAGAGGGAGAGCTGACTCTCCCCACTCTCGACCATAACAGGGCATTCGGGTTCAACTGATTGAGTAGTTTCGTATATTCAGTTACTTTGAAGTGTACCGTGCTTCAAACTGAAATACATATTGGCAAGCTATTAGTTAACTGCATCTGTTTAATATACAGTGTTTTGTGTAAGATGATAACTTCTCCCAAGATACTGGTATTCAGTACATTTCGTCTTAACGTTTACTTTTACAAAATAGGTTTTAATTACAATTGATTGATCACTGGGTGGTGATCAATGTCTTGCTTGTCTAGTCCTTATTAGTGCAGATCGAGTGCTATCGATCATGTTGCAATGTGGCCACCAGTCTAGGTGACTCGACACTGCGGGCACTATGTATTGAGATTTAGATGGTGGTTGGAGGTAGTCAACAGGAAACCCTGGACCCGGGTTTCGTGCTACTTGGCACTCGTCAGCAAGGTGTACCTGTAATCTTGAGGGAACTGGTGCTCCCTGGCGGATTCGATCTCGTGTCACCCAGCTTCACAGTCAGAGACGTTACCACTGAGCTATCCGAGCCGTGACTAACCTCCTGTAGGACTGAGATGTAATTACAATTGATTGATCACTGGGTGGTGATCAATGTCTTGCTTGTCTAGTCTAGTTGTCTTGTCTTGTCTTGTCTTGTCTAGTTTGAAATACTAAATAAACATTTCAAGTGATAAATCGTAACAAATTAGTTGAAAAATAAATTAACGTTCAATATTTTATTGTTTAACCCAATTTATATATATATATATATATATATATATATATATATATATATATATATATATATATATATATATATATATATATATAATCTGTTGGACGTTTGGACATTTTTATTTGCTCACATGATACAGTCATAAGTCTTACAATAAATGTTAGACCGTATTCCATTTTGAATCCTTAAATTTGGTTTCATAAAATTATCATATTGAGTAAATGGCATATAATCGTTTGATAAACTCATTTTCTCTTATTCTCGTTTTTTGATTAGAATAAAATTTGTAACATAAAATGCAATTTTTAGCACTAACTGTCCTTCATTAAATTCCATTAATTTGTTGTTGTTCTTTTGATTCAAGTGATTTTGATTATATTACTTAAATATTCTGGAAATTCTAATGGTTTATAGGTTTGATTATTCACAGATTGGTCTTAGTTAGATACCCTTGAAGACTACAAATTATTAGACAACCATTTTTTTTTTAGTATATAACTTCTAAACAGTGCGAACCCTTGACTTCTTTAGAGATCAAACTCAGGGCCTTCAGATATTACGGTATACGCTTGAGCTGAGCATTAGAATCAATAGTTCAGCGTCCAATGATATTCTTCTAACCTGGACCAGCTAGTAAAATATATATATTAGTATTGAGTTATGATGGAGTACTTATTTAAAAGAAATATTTCTTCTCACAATTTAAAAAAAATGGAATACTTACTTAACGTTTATGAAATATTGAAAAAGTTGCTTGCTGAAGTTGAATTCATTAACAAGCACAATGAGTAACACAACACTTCTTGTTGCAATGCATAACGTGAAGCTTATGAAATTAGATTTGATAATAATAACCTGTTTCCTACCAAAAAAATTAACGTATTTTAATTAGTCTCTTAGTTTATTTGGGAAATTCAAAGATTTATCGCACAAAATTGCGCTACTTTCTTAATCTAACCATAGAAATTGTAACATTGACCAATACATATACTATGAATTATTTAATAACGTTAATTATGTTTACGTATATAAAGTTGCATTTCAATCGATTCCAATTCAGGATTAATTGATGGCGGTTAATTTCAGTTGATTAGATTAATTCACTGTGAATGTTCAGTCAATTCTATCTGAATTTTATTCTAATCAGCTGTTCAACGTAAGTTCTCAACCAATCACTTTAATTAATATAGCGTTATAATTCAAAATGAATATATATTCAGTTTGTTAACTGATATGAAAAACACCCACCTTTAGTTTGTGTTTAAATCATCTTCATGATTAAAAGTAAGAAAATACAGTTCGGTTATATCCTAGCCTTGTATCTTAATAGTGTAATTGTTCTCAACACATTTGCTGTACTTTATTAACTACTACTCTTAAATTTTGTTTTTCTGTACTGTTAACAACTAGATATTCATTTGACAAAATAAGTCTTATTCACGGTGGTGCATACTGAGAAAAAGTATATTTCATATTCTAATAGGTTGCACTACTGACTAAATTTCATGAATGAAATCTATTTGTTTATCGTTAAAGTAGTTCGCTACTTATTGTCTATGTGTGGTGATGATGATGGTAATAATTTTTAAAAAATTGAATGAATCTAAATGCCTAAATTAAATCAATAAAAAAACAATTAAAATCGCGGACTGACAGATGATTACTTCATCATCGGTTGGTATTTGTTATTGGTGCTTCAGGGTAGTTTCCAATCAAAATCAACTGGTTTCAAGTACTGGAAAAGGTGTTCAAGCTGTTGATACTGTCGACTTTTTTCATTGTAAGCTTAGCTCAATTAACAGCTGTTCGAGGTTGACAATATGCTAACCTTATGGAAATGTTAGTTTTAATCTTGTATTATGGCCCATTTATTTTTCAGATCTTACCTTCACACCGAATATCTTTCGAGTTATAATTATGCTATTTTTAAATCTAACTTTTATAACACTTCCTGTTTGTATAAGACACGGTTATGTGTGGGAAACGTACTCACAACTGTTACCCCTCGTAGAGGAGCATTGACTGCTCATTAGCATTCTCCATGCAACTCTGTCCTGAGCAATTCTTTCCAGTTGCTATCTCTCCTTTTCACGTCTGCTTCGAATTCCCCGCATAGTGTGTTCTTTGGTCTTTTTGTTTTGAGTTTCCGTTCAGAATTCCAAGTTAGTCCTTGCCTCGTGATTCAGTTTGATGATTTCCGAAATGTGTGTCCTATCTACCTCCATCGTCATTTCCTAATTTCCTCCTCACCTGGAAACTGGTTTGTTCTCTCTCACTGTAGGTTGTTGCTGATGGTATCCGACCAACGGACATTGAGTATCTTATGTATACAATTGTTTATAAATACTTGTACCTTTTTGATGATGGTTGTAGTAGTTCTTCACGTTTCAGCTCCGTACGGTAGAACTGTCTTGATGTTCGTATTGAGAATTCTGACTTTGATATTGGTTGAGAGTTGTTTTGAGTTCCATATGTTCTTCAACTGTATGAATGCTGTCCTTACTTTGCTGAACCTCGCCTTTACGTCTGCATCCGATCCGCCTCACCCATCGATGATTCTGTTCAGATACGTGAAAGTTGTCACCTATTGTAGAGTTTCTCCATCATGTGTGATTTTGTTGTTGCTGTGCGTGTTGTATTTGACGATGTTGCTCTTTCACTTGAGTATCTCGAGACCTACTGATGCAGTGGCTGCTGCTGCATTGTTTGTCTTCATCTGCATTTGTTTGTGTGTATGGGATAGGTGGTGGGCTAAGTTATGTACGAAGTTCAAATCTTCTAATGATTCCGATCCGTCCATTGTATTCTGTGCTTCACTTGAGATGTTAAGGTGTCCATAATCCAATCGATATGCAGTTCAAAACTGGTATGCCAGTACATCCGATTGATGAGTCACGGTTAAGATGAAGTGCATATCCGAGACCCAAATGATAGTACTTATCCGACTTTTATAAAAAAGTAATCTATATTTGTTCCCTAATTGATTGAATGCCTGAAGTTTTATACATGTAAATGCGTGTACGCGTGTATTTTTTTCCCTTTTTTTGATTTTTTTAGGAAGTACACGCTCTGTCTATCCACTAAACATGTTTTCATCATCAGACGCGCTGAATCCATTTGCAGATCCTACTACTACATTGAGTAATTCATTACAACATGGTCAACAAATTACTAACAATACTAATCAACATAGTAATAGTAATGTTACTGGACTAACTTCCTCGACATTAACTGAAAACGATCATGGTAATAAGTCTAAATTAATTGATGAAAAAGATGGTATATTGAATGATGAAATGTTCACGGCAAATTCAAATGTTAAGTTTGATGTTGGTGACAGTTGTCGGTCGCCTTTCCATTCTCGATTTCCAAATATAACAAAAGGTGATTAGTGTAATAATAATCATTAGTTCTTTCATGGATTATGATTGTTTTTATAAAATTATTGTTGTGTTTACTTTAATGAAAACACAAATTTACATATCGTCAGTTAAGCTATGAACGATAATTATTAAATTTAAATCACACAATTTCTCAAATGCTTTCATTTAATATAAATGAAGTTGACATTTTTAATTCATTTAACAAGTATGGATTTGTTTACTTGACTTCAAGAGATACTGCAAATGTGAAGGCCAATGACATTACACAGTTGTTGAATCCAAAGTTGGTTGAGTGTTGATCGAATTTGGAAAATCTTAATCAGTGAGCCATCACTGCGTTTAATACTACATAACAGTATGCAAAATAGTTTAGAGGTGACACTGATATTTTGGCCAAAAATATGTATGGTTTAAAATACCACGGAGCCTAAAGAAAAGAAGATATGTTACATGTTTATCAACTGTAATTACCCTTCACTGATTTGTACTGTTCGTAATGGGAGTCAGCTACGCTATACAATTCTCTCCTATTTATTTGATGCCATCTAGTCTCTGGTTTGAAAAAAAGGTGTAAAGCACGCTATGAATTACATTTGATAATTATTAAGGGGTTTTGTACTGTTATTTTGTATAACTTAAAAATAACAAGCTTATATCTGCTAAACAGTTATTGAAACCCAGGAATCACAGGACATTTATTTCATTGCTATGTATAACTCAATAGCGTACGTCCTTGACTCCTTCAGAGATATTTTTATTTTATGTTACACCTGCATTGTGTCACAGCTTCAAAAAATCGAAATGAGCCTTATTCCTAAACCTTCCTCCATAAATTCATCGGAGATTGTAAATGATCATCGTGTTTTCTATATCATCATGATTTGGATACTGTTCGCCTCTAATTGTCCTGGTACAGCCGAGGTTAGGGAGAGTCCTCTGTTCCCCTTGATATGCTCTCACACGGCCACGCGTATACAGCCTGTCCTACTCACTACCCTTTTGCGGCATCACTGTTGTTTACGAAATCGAGAGGACGAGAAGCGAATGTCCGGCTCTTTGACCGGGTTGGTGGACACGGACGGTCCACCTAGGGGAGTTGGAAAACCCCGATTTCAAACCAATAATGCACATGGGCTCCTGAGGGAAAAATGGGATATGAACCTATTGTTGGTGACCGGCCATCATGGGACTGTATCTTCTAATGTTGCTCCAATTCTTTGTGGATTAGACCTTTAGGTCAAAAGCTCTGTGTGTGGCCCCCTAAGAAAACCATCTGCACCGGTTTGGGTGCCCGGACAGTATCTCAGCCCTCACACAAACCGGTCTCATTGTTGTTGTGTGGCGCATATATATTTGGTTCCCCCTTGTACCAATGTTTATGTGTTGAAATAAATGATAACTGCTACTGGATTCTGTTTATTAAAAATAATGTTAGTCGAGTCTCTTTAGACATATATTCATTCTTGATTTATCATTATTGATTGGATTGTTAACTGTGATAATGATGATTTGTGATTACGAATTAGGATCCAGCTGGCTCAACAAAGTTTTATTTTATGTGATGGATTGACTGAGTTGCAGTTGTCGTTTAATAAAGCTGTGAACATATTGATTACAATGATTTTTAGTTATTGTCTGTCTTGTTGTATCACCCGTATAATTTGTGCAGTATAGACACAGTGATTTTTTTTGAGTAGATTAAATAAACTGCTTTGTTTTTGTTATTAAAATGACGAATGGAACTAAGTTGGATAAAGATTGGAAAGTTTGGAGCATTAGGTAATTGTTTCTTCGTAGTATGAGACTTTTTCGTGATGGTGGGTTCAATGATACACAGTGACGAGGAGTCCTGTGCCAGGAGAAAACAGTTGTCCAGTACTTCCAGGTTTTCTTTAGTTTTCTGAGCCACGTTTCTTATCTTAATAAAATCTGACTCATATTTCTAACAACTTTCTGGGTTTGTGCTGACCGCTTATATCATAAGGTCTAGTCAGTGTAGTTGTAATGAATGGTTGTTTTTCTGTTATTACGTTTTCGGTTTTCTAGACAAGCGTTTCAATTTTGTGTGCCACTGAGTGAGTTTTACGATGTTCCTATCACTGTACAATACTGTGTCTGGTCATTCGTCATTCTTAATTTTCTCGTTCTTATGTTTAGTTCTCACCACTTTAAATATAGATGTCAAGCTCAAGATCGCTTGGTTGTTATAGTTTTCTCGTCTTAGTTTTTCTGTTTGTCTAACTCAATTAGTTTTTATTTAATCAAAACTGTCGATTGACTCTTTTTATCTATGATCATGATAATGAAATAAATTATTGCAATTTATTAAGTATTTTCTGTTGTTTTTATTCATTATTCAGGTCGAAATGGTGAATTCTTATCATATCAAAGTGTTAATTCAATTAATAGTCATTCTACTGGAGCAATATCGAAAGTTGAACATTATGAAGATTTCGAAACTATCGACTGGGTCAAAGATGTTTCACGTGATCGATGTCGTCATCGAGAACTTCATTTGAACAGAGTTAGTTTGAGTTTTCTTTTGTTTCTTTCTTTACTTCCGGCGTTTTTTTATTATGTTTTCATCGTCAATCTTACCAATGTATGGTTTATTTTAGTCTTAAAAGGACGGAGAGCATTTGTAACTTAAGTGGATGCCTTTGATTTTGTCAACTTCTCTGAGATAGATGGTTTCATTGTGGAGCCTCAATTGAAATTTTAGAGAAAATCAGTATTTGCTTCTTATAGAAAAAGTGACCTTAATCGTCTATAAGCGTGAAATTGGTTTGTTCTAGTGAACTTACCTGTAATTGACTGTCTTCATAAGTTTTATTGTATTCAGTTTTCGTTGGGTTTCTTGTTCTGTTGGCCTCTGAACATTTTTATTGGCTTTCTTTTCTATGGGTTGATGGATTGCATCTACCTCGATATGTTTGTTGAGTCCCGATTTACTTAGGCGATATGCTTCTAGATCTTCATTAACTTGTTTACAAAAATTCTTGATTCTCTATCAAATGATGAACATTGTTTCTTGTATGCTCTGTAGAGTAGTGATATGGAATGTGACTCATGAGTTAATACTCGTGTTCTTTGAGCAGATTACCTCAAAATCTTTAAGTCATTTGGTCAATATTGGGTTCTATACACTTGGTTATGTTTTTAAGTATCTTCAAAACGTTTACAGTGTATTTCCAGATTTATAGAATTTCCAAGATAAAATTGGTCAAGGAAACTATGGTTTTTAAAAAAATGTCTATTTATTCAACCAGTCATTTTCTTACCTGTTCCCTATTAGTGTCCACATTACTAATGTTTTTGTTGGCTGTCTAAACAAAGTCAGTCCGTGGTGTAGAACTACCAATACAACATAATTCGCGACTCCTTATTCTAGCGAATTCAAAAACGAATAAGTAGAATTGAGTTGTAAATTACTAGAGATTGTTTAGATTAGTATAACTTGGTGTAAACCTTCTGAATGAGGTTCACAAAAAGATAAAATATATAGTTGAAGGAATGTATAATCGTGAATTCTCACAGACTCACTATGTCGTACTTTTCTTACGAGTCGGTCTGTTTGTCTGTTTTGTAAATTTATCTCTATCGTTTCTTTTCACTATTATTTCATGTTATGACAAACTGAATCTATCAGTCATTATTTCTGATTATGTAGGTTTGTAATAGGAATATTTTATTTTATCCTAAATCATTATCTATCACAGTGAATAAATCGGTAACGTTTTATTCTATTCAAATCCTATAATCTACCATTTTGTTTATTTGGTATACATTATTTTAAAAGATTTGAAAATCGCTTGTTCTAGAAGAGTTTTAGCAATATTCGAATATTGACAGATAAAGAGAAAATTTCACGTTACATTTGGAGTGCATGTATTTGACTTAGTTAAGTTCAGTAGACAAAATATCTATTTCATCTTACGATATGTTATTCTATTAAATCTAAACAATTATAGTTATTATCTCTTATTAGAGGCTGAAATTTAAACAAAAGAATATTTATGCATCTAATTTGTCATATATCATACACTATGCACAAATCTATTCGTTTCATTGTCAGCTATCTTATCAGTTATATCATTTTTAGTATATTTTCGAAATATATCTGTTAAATTTTCTTTAGTAAATGCAAAAAGTTCACCAAAATTCAAATTATTGCACAGTTTTTCATGTCGTTTATCTTGCTAATTGATTTCAATCCTATATTTCTTGTATCTAGTGCTCGGTATTCATCTCCAAATCATTCGATTTGTAAGAAAATCAGTGATACTACCCAGTGGTAGTTGGAGTGCTATATGTTAAGTGGAGTTAGAGTATATCATTGAATGGTTGAAAATGAAACCTTTTAATCACAAAGTCAGAGTTTATTGTTGCATATAATTGTGAATTCAATAAATGACTTGTCAAACTGCGCTATTCAAAACTTATTACATTTTCAATATTCCCTTCGTATTATTATTTTTCGACTATTTTTTACAAGATCAATTTAGAACCCAGTCATTCATAATATAGAAAGTTTTTAAACGTATTCTTAAGTGATATCGTTATTGTTTGCTACCAGTATATAGATAATTGGAAACCTATTTTACCTACTTCAGTTTGAGTAATATCACCAGCTCTTAATCGAACAGTGAAGTTTGGAGCTGTGCTCATAAGCCTTCATCTAGTGAATAAGCTACATTTCGGTTATTTGTAAATATTTTGTCTTTTCTAAGCATTGTTAATGTCATGAATGTTTGCCACTTATGAAATACCTTTAATGTTTCTGCTTAGAAAACATTTCTCTTTATGACCATGTCGTCTTTCTTCCTTTTATTAGGGTAAGCAAATTTAATTATTTAATATTTAAACTGGTTCTATGCTTCCTCTCTGTGTTTTCATTGTCAATTTTACAATTTTTAGAAAACATGCTGTGGTTCAATTAAAGCCTGTTGGGATTCTGCTTCTGGATGGTTTTGTGTATTATGTGTCGGTTTGTTAACAGGTTTCATTGCTTGCATCATTGATATTGGTTGTACTTGGATGTCTGATTTAAAAGAGGGTGTTTGTCTAGATGCATTTTGGTTCAACCGTGAACAGTGTTGTTGGTCATCAAGTCAAGCAGATGATGTCTGTGATCAAGTAAGTATGTTCGTTATATTCCTTTATTCCTCAGTAAAGTGCTAGTTACAAGTTTTTGGTTGTTGATTTTCTTCAAAACATCAGATAATTAGGCCAGCCAGATTGTATCAATAGCTCTTAGTCAATTACATAAATTTGTACTTGTTAAATGAGTAATTATTTCTATTTATTATTAGCTAAGTGAAATACTGAATTTCATTTCTGTTGTTTACACCCCTGAGATTATGCAATTTTATTTACAAATTTAGTTAGAAAAAACAGTATTCTAATATGTTGGGGAGATCCAGAAAACCCCTTGAAAAAAATTCCAAGAAAGGCTCTGAAAACACTGAGAAGCATCTTATCCACTCAGCGTACGGCAGAAGTTATGCCAGAAACATCAAGTGTCAAGTCACATGTTGAGTTTCTTATTGGATGATTACTTATACCGCTACTATGTTTAATAGCGTTCCAGAATTTTCATGAAACCCAAGGTCATCTAAAATACTATAAAAACCCTAGGTTTCCTGTGTATGAACAAATCTTTTGAAATAATGTTCCTTACGTGTTTTGTGCGTTTCCTTCTGTGTTCAGGTCACTGTAGATCTAGCCTGGGGATTACTAGAAGAGCTTAGGAACAAATCTGTCGTTCAATTAGAAAGACTTATAATAATGGTTGATTCATAGAAGTGGACCAATATGTTCAGTTTGAAAAAGGTTTCGTACACACTAATATTGAATGTTTCGGATTGTGATTAGAGTTTTATTATGCAATGTGGAGTATTCGTAATTGTTTTTGTTCTCTTTCTTCACTCCTTTCAATTTTAGTGGTATTCATGGTCTCGTCTTTTTATGAACAAAGATCCAACTGGTGAATATCCAGATGCTTACTTTGTTGGTTACATATTCTACATCATTTATGCTGTATTATTCGCTCTAGTTTGTGTATTTCTTGTTCGTATGTTTGCTCCTTACGCTTGTGGTAAGTATGACATTTTATACATTTGACTGCTTGTGCTTAAAATGTAGTTTACAAAAGATCGTACTTTTTTTAAGATTCCATTATTCATGGTCACTAAACAGAGTAATATTGGCTTAGAAATTGCCAATGTACATCCTGGGCTGTCTGTTTCGATTTAGGTAGTTAAGTAGTATCACATTAGCTCTCAAATTTAATGTGAGACTATTTAATAAAATTTTACTTAGTAACTAAATTCAGTAACAGTTATTTTTAGAGTAGTAGTGGAATCCAGGACGCGCGTTCTTTCCAATTTCAGGATTTAGCAAATCGATGTGCATGTGCTAAATGTTTATGTTAAGACTGAGACTTGAACTCATTACCTATCTCTTTAGGAATCAGAATGTTGTCCACTATGTCATTATGAAACTGAACTAGTAAATGTGTAGTTTTAATCTTACATTTTTGAATGATAACTTTTGAGTACTTGTTTATTGTTAATTATATTATCGGCGTCAATGTTAATACTAGGTGTTTATTTAACAACAGTTCTAAAGAAATTACCAAGAATGGAGTTGATTATTTAATTCAAGAATATCACTGCTAAGGGCTGGTGCTTTTACCTAGTTTCCTAATTTTCAATACATAGAACTGTGTTTGAATCTTTGAAGTTTTAAATTAAGTAGTGTCAGAGGACTATCAGTTTGTCATAGGTTTGAAAAACTATCGGTTTTTGTACCCTTTACTAGTCAAGTTGCTCAGTCAAAGCTATCATATATGTGTATTATTAGAGTTTCTTTTTAAACCCCTTATTAGTCGACTAATCCATTACATAAAACTATATTTCACCAGTACACCGACTTGAACTTAAACCATTCGGCTTCCTGTGTAATTGTATTTTTGATGGCAGTCAGAAATCCCTATCAAAAGAATACTTATTAATCCCTTTTTGTCGGTCAACCGGCAAACTATGTCATTAAAATTCCCGTAGCCGTCTGATTCAGTTTTTCAGTTCAGGAGTTAGTAGACAGATCAACTGCCACATCATGACATTCTGCTAACGAACCACCTAAGAAGATAGCTAGAATGATTTGAAGAAGTTAGTTTTTATTAAGCTCAAATTAGTTTAAATACTAGTTAGTAAGTAGGATTATCTACTCTAGTGATTTCAAAATGTGTAAATCTTTAAAAACAGTGGAGATAATTTGTAGCTCAGTTCGACACATTTAGACGTGTTGTATTCTCTGTGCTGGGCGATTTAATTGCATTAATTATCTCTAAAGTTTGACTGCTACATTTCGAAAGAAAACTTACTCTTAAAATGTACATTCATAGTACACTGATAATATTATATGACTGGATGAAAGCAAATGATTTGTAAATCTTTTGTCAAATTTCTTGGAATCATTCGCTACGTTTGATTTTAATTTTTTAAAATAGTTTTCTTACTTGTATCGTTTTTAAATGACTAAGATGTTTAATGTTGTACTGACACTTTTTAATGTGTTCGGAACTCGAGTGACTGATGTCATTAGACTAGTTAATGTCTTATCTATGTAAAGATACTACTTTAAGATCTTTTTGGTACTGTACATTTCGATGTTCTAAAATGATACAGTATGTTGTACCATATTCTGTTCGTATTTAGACCTAATCTTGTTCGGGTGATTAATAAAAAAAGTAATTAATAACTAACATGTATTGATTCGTTGACTTTATTAAATGTATTCAGCATCGAACGATAATCATTTCAATCTCTATTGTTTAGATTTACCTCGTTCATAATTAATCGTTCAGGATGCAAGAAATCTACTCCGAATATTTCCTAAACGTATTGATCACTATACCATCAAATTATCCATTAAGTAACACTTCTTTGGTTCGTTTGTCTTCCACCCTAATAACTTATTTGATCCAAGTGATGAACGTTATAAATCTATTACATTCTATATACTTTGAACACATACATATAAAGGAAATGGAGAAATGAATTGGCCAGACTTCTAGCATTGTGTTTGGACAGAATAAAAATGTAACTCACTAATTGAGTTATATTTTCATAGTTGAATTCACAAGTTGATTTGAATTAGACCACCATTGAAAACCTGAAAGCATTGGACAATGGGTGAAGAGTTGCGCAAGATCATGGATCGATTGAAGTTTGATATTAACACCGTTGAATGCCGGCTCAGTGATCTAGATGTTGGGTGTTCGCGTGCGAAACTGAAGTTCCCGTGTTCGAGTCCCGCATGAGGGGTCGTGGATGCGCACCACTGTGAATTCTCATACGGCTTTCCAGTTCTTCCAGGTTTTTAGTGGTGATCTAGTTTACATCGACTCGTGAATCTAACTATGAAAATACGAAAATCTCCACAAATCCCCATACTGAGTTATATTTATTAATCAAAGCAGTTAATGTCAGTGATTGCTAGCTTGTTATATCCAAATCTAACTATTGACCGAATAGTCAAAGATAACATACTTGTTATTGTAATTTTTCATGTCATTTTGGTCAGTTATGATTCAGTGGTTTAAGTGTATAATAAATCTTTCATTTTCAGTCTTACTTTCCTTGTTTTCGTTGGTGATTATGAGTCTTTGTTCAATTACAATAAGTATCAATGTTCCTTTATTCATAAAACGGTAACAGCATCGTTTTAATGTAAGGGGATTATACACTGAATATTAGATTAATAGATCACTAAACTGGGCGCTAGATCATGTTATCTGATCACATGATACAGCTGACTCAATCATCCTATTGACGATCAAGAACCAGATTACATCAGAACTAAAGTTCTTTTAACATATAGTTCAAAGTTGTCATTAAGTGGAACTAAAATAGAATACAAGTTCAATGCTGCTCAATAATACTGGATGGCCTCCTATATTTAGTATGGCTTAATATATCTGTCTGCTTTTATTCACTAATCACGACTTAGTCTCACTGTATACATCAAAATAGTGTCGTAAAATTAGTCAGTCATTTACTAATCGGTTAAGTGCTCGCGCGCGAAGCCAGTAGGTCCTGGGTTCGAGCCCCGCGTGGTGCGGGATCGTGGATGCGCACTGCTGAGGAGTCCCATACTAGGACGAAACGGCTGTCCAGTACTTCCAGGTTTTTAATGGTGGTCTAGCTTCAACTGACTCATGATTTCAATCTGTGAAAATTTACTAATTTAAACAGTTATTCAATGTGTACATGTTAATTCTAGAATTTTTAAATGGGAACAATAGTTATTTTTTCGAATTATTTAAGCTACTTTATATCGTGGTAATAAATCTTATGCATTCTCTTTTTCATTGTTTACATTGAATGCATTGTTGTTATTTTTTTGGTCATATTAAAGAGTAATTTTGGAGTTAATTTTTAAGAATTTCATTGGTCTCTTAACTGTTTTTATAGAATAAACAAATAAACTAAATTTCTTTAGAAAATATATTTACTAATTAAAGTCATGTGTGATTTTACTAATTTTCATAGTAGTACCAGATTCATCATGATGTTTGTGTTTGTATTTTTATAGGTATTAGTTCAATGCAATTTTGTTTACATTGTTAACTCAATCTATAAGATTTTAGAGTTGAGTAAAAAAAAATAGATGCTTTTATTATTAGAGATATATATGGAACATCAGGATTAAACGTAAAAGCACGTGAAATATGTCTTCCATATGTACTGTTGATAGATTATAACTCTCAACTATTGAATAGTATAGCAGTTGTCATACTAACATTACTTATCGATCTATCAAATGACAAGCTAAGAAGTTTTTTCTTAAACATAATACAACATCTTTCACATAAAGTTATTTAACACAAAAAAAATAAACTGCCTGTTCTAACCTGCTCTTTGCTATATAATTTGAAAATATCATCATAATACCATACAAGATTTACTCCAATAAAAGCATAACTGGCCTAACTGAACTCAACGGAATGTCTCTTCAACACTTTACCCTCACTATTGTTGACGCAACACTCAACTAGTAAAAAGACAACCTGGTTTGTTCTGAGAAGTATATATATTTACTAAATTATAATAACGTTTAGCGAATTTCATATTAGTTAAGTGTTAAACCTGAAATAATACCGAAATAACTAATAACTGAAATAGTCAGAATATAATTGAATATTGCACTGAACGGCTATCAGCAATCAATAGTTTTACTCTTGTTTGCTTTCTTAACATCTTCTTTTGAAAGAGTTGTAAGATTTCGTTTTTTTAAAAGTAAAATTATAATACCTTTGATTTTCTTTGTTTTCATGATGATCTTTTTCACAAATCCTGTCCCGGTTTCCCCAGATCACTGGCTTCAGTAGAATCATTTGTAGATGCGGTCTTTTCTAAAAGACTAGATTACTTAGATATGTTAAATACTATTATTTGATTAAAAACTGTTACTGTTGCCTACTTGTAAGCATGCTTTTTCTTCGATATAAATCTCATAATTTTTATGGTGTGCATCTATTCAAGTTGCTTTTAATAGTTTGTGATTGTTTATGTAGTGTGGGAAATGGCCTCTGTGGGAAGCTGCCTGTGTCAACTGAGTTTTCACACTTGAAATTTACTTTACATTTAATTAATAGCGTTAAATTATACTGTAACCAGTCTTAATATTTTAAAAATACACATAACAGACTGTCGCTTGGATTTCCGCGATTTTCCTTTGTCGTTCTTCTGCGAGGTAATGATCTATTCTATTTGTGAATAGAACAAATAGAATGAAATGTCGATACTCACGGAAAATACTATTCTTGCTTATATTAACAGCCAAACGATTCACATTATTATTATTATTACTATCTACTACCTCACTTATTCACTCTCTTTTATTCCCACTATGTGTATCCTTATTTTTCGACTTATACAACAGCTCGCCTATGGTGGAAACTCGGTTGTATCTAAACGTTCTCGAGTCACTGAATGGCTGAGAATTGAATGCTACCCACGAATACGAATACTGAAGCAGTTTTTCTGAAACCATGTGCACCTTTCAAACTGGCTGCCTTCAACGTTCGCAGGTCGGACAACAGATGGGGCTGGCTATGTCTTTAGAAAGCCTTAGTATCGATGTCTATTGTCTATCCGAGGCCCGTATTCAAGACTCTGGTGAAGTACTGCGAATTCGCTCTCCATCTGTCTCTTCGAAAAGCTTGTTTTACGTGCGCTTATCCGGGGACGTTAGTACATTTACTCTATTTTCAAATAGTACTGTGATATGTATCTTCAATCTGTAATGTTATCTGAAATATTCTTCAAAGTTACAGGAAACATAATTTAAAGATGTTGATAAACAATATTTGAATGTATTTGGGCTGTATACAGAGACTGAGTTACGTCACTATAGGTGTCCGGTCATTGATTTGGGTTTCCAACCTTCACTATATGTATATCCCAGATTATCTAGACCAACCATTTAGTTAATGTGTTGTTTTTTATATTGAGAAAATCTGCTTTTTTAACATCTGTTTTTTCTGTATTTGATTTTAGGTAGTGGTATTCCTGAAATCAAGACTATTCTTGGTGGATTCATTATACGTGGTTACTTAGGGAAATGGACTCTTCTGATAAAATCGATTGGTATGATTCTTGGAGTAAGTGCTGGTTTAAATCTTGGTAAAGAAGGACCCATGGTTCATATGGCTGCCTGTGTCGGAAATATATTTGCACATTTCTTTCCCAAATATGGTCAAAATGAAGCTAAAAAACGGGAGGCAAGTTTTCTAAGATAATAGCTGTTGTGAAATAATATTTTACGAACTTGTTGTGGTCTATGTAAGACGGTTGTCAACAATCGATATAAGCTATTAATCTAGCATTTATGATTTTCAGCACTCACTACTATCTGACTATCACTTAGACTCACCTCTACTTCAGTGGCTTGGAGATGTCTTCTGAATGTCGTCTCGTGCATTATTTTCTGACGCTGGGGCTGGTTGGAAAAACGGAGAGGTGGTCAGTGTATGACATGGTGTCATAGTATAAAAGAAAGCTGTATAGGACTTGCTTTTTGTTATGAACGGGGAAATAAGAAGCCCAGACAACCACGAAAGCTATTTTATTGGGACGTTAATTCATTTCATTCAAACCCTGTAAAACACTTATATTTATTTTTGTCCCTATCTTATTCTACATAACATGAGCTTTCGTTCACTACCATACCCTTTTTTGTTCCGAAAATATTGTAATTTAAACATAATATTTTGCACCGTATTTTCTACCCTAAATCCCAGTTTCGGGCATAACTGTATTTTTCCAAATTATCGTACGTCGTGGTCAAGATATTCACTTATTTATTCATGTACATTTTTGTACCAAATTCAGAGAATCCAGAGTTCAGTGTTCCGACTGTCTTGTCTTCTCTCACTTGCGTGCTTGCCAACTAATCAGGTTCTAGAATAGTTCTCTCTACCCCACCTCGAACTCACACGTACTAGGCTCAAGGTTAAGCCACTCACCCTATCGTGTCAAGCTCATAATTTAGACTAGACAGATCAAGGTCAAGTCATATCAAGTAACAACGGGGTAAAAGCGATTCAAGGTCATAACACTTTTGTTGCTACATCACAACTCCCCGATTGTGGTTCTAAAGATGGTGTGCACTTGAAAATAAACAAACTCAATTTTTTAATAATTAATCAAAAATCAGAAAAAGGTCATACGCTAATATGAATAAGCAAAACCATTTTTACAGTTATCATTATGATAAAGCAATTTACACTTATTAACAAGGATTAGATAACTCGAGACTATCTAATCAGTTATTACAACCAATCTTTGTATGATTTCTGGTATTAATTCTGTTCAAAAGTCAATAATATCTCACAAAACACAATGTAGAGTGTAATGACAAAGAAGATCAACTTGAATACGTTTTCAAAAAAACAACCACAATACTATATCATACAACGTAGCTGCCCTCTTCGCTTACTTGAAAAACCATTAGCTATTCGATCTGATGACGTTTATTAGCTTATGTCTGTATGTAATTGATTGTACGCTCTGAAATCAACAGAGGTGTCATAAGTCCAATTTTCAAACTAACGGGATGTAATATACTTGACAACAATATCATAGGCCGTTTCAGTTTAATCTACTCTAAGTTTTTGTTTAAATACTAAGATCATAGTTGTTATTGGCGACCATTCTTGTCATGTATCATTGGACAAATAGTTTCGTCTCTATGACAAAAATCTAATAACTCACTTTTTCAAAATCATTTTGCTGATATTGTTTTGAAAGAGCGAAGAAGGCATCATCAGTAAATCACCTACCACAAAGAAATTTTGACTAAAATCTTTTTCTTGGGTTTGCTAAGCCACTATCGAATTAATTATAGGCTGATGAGATAAAATCTATTGGTTGATATACCCAAGATGCTCTTCAGAGATATCTGTTCCTCCAGGACTGACCTGCGTCAACATCTGAACTAAGGATAGGGAGTTAAATAGTCAAACGCGTCGACAACTTCACTTATCTTGGAAGTCTGGTCAGCACAAATGGGTTGGTGTCTGAGGAAATCTTGTCACGGATTCAGAAGGCTCGTTTGGTTTTTTCCAACTTACGTCACCTAGGACGAAGGCGAGATATCCGTCTATCAATAAAAGGACGAGTATACTGCACGGCAGTTCGTTCTGTTCTACTTTAGGGCTGCGAAACGTGGTCATTAAGAGTAGAAGATACTCGTAAGTTACTAGTATTTGACCACAGATGTCTAAAAAATATTGCTGGCATCTGCTGGGATCACTGGGTAAGTAATAGTGAGGTTAGACTTAGGGTATTAGGGAATGATGGTAAATCAGTTGATGAGGTTATGAATACCGATTACGACGATGTGCAATGCTGACTAGTGTTGGAAATGGTTGGAAGAAAGTTAGGGGTGGCTAAACCAAAACGTGGCATCAGTGCTTGAAGTCACTAACTCCTAGTCTTAGCCATGTTGATAGATGCAGACGACTTGGTTGGGGTCAGCATGATTATCGAAACAAATGGTTAGAGATCATGGGTGGCATAGCTCAGACTAGATCACAATGGTGTAGGTTTATACACTCTTTGTCTTCCCTTAAACTATCAGATCGCTTCATATCTTTCTTCCTATGAACTAATTCTTTCTTCCTGTATTATATCCTTATATGCAGTATTTTTATATCTTACCACCATTGAATTAACTGCTTCTATGAATCCGGTGTTCGTCTTGCTGTGCTAATGAGGTATAGCCACTTGGACCGATGCATATATGTGCCTGGTCCTACGTTGTGGCTGACTGAATTCAATTTACCCTAAGCGTCATATCGAAGTGAAAATTGATTAGTCGATTGATCTGATGAAAACTGTTTGGATTTTTTTGAAAAATTTTGTTGTTTTGAAGATAGTTTGAAGCGCTATAACTTTCTTACCAAAGTTTTTTTAAGTCTCAAATTTGATCTTTTAGTGTAGACTGCGAAAAAATTCAATCAGTCATAATCAACGTAGAATCGGCTACAAATGTGCCCTGACCCGAATTACCCATATCACGTTAGCACAACGGGATAAAATTAGCCAAATGTATAGTGAGGGAATCGAATTAATATGATAGACAGGAATAAAAGATATTTGTCAAGAAATACTGGAACTTAACATCTCAAGGAGGATAAGGAGTGAATCCATCCGGACCACTGTGCTCGATTATGAGCCATCTCTTTCAATGCTTTCAAAATCTGGTCACGTTTACTGCACCGACCCTATTCAGGTAGTCTGCATCTACAAAAAATACATGTTGCTGATTGTCTTTCGATCTTAATTGTTTAGTTCTCAGTACTCTCCCAATGAATATCACTTCGTAGTGAATATTATTATTAGTTATCATCATTTTTTAAACTAAACAAGTTCCTTAAAATCAAACTTCATTTTACTGATTTCCACTTATTGTTGTTATTTTTACTTTCTGCTTCTGTTTCTGTCTTCCCTCCGAAATACTAGATCCTTTCAGCTTCAGCAGCTGCTGGAGTTGCCGTTGCATTTGGTGCACCAATTGGTGGTGTTCTTTTTTCACTAGAAGAAGCTAGTTATTATTTTCCAATGAAAACAATGTTCCGATCGTTTTTCTGTGCTATGGTATCAGCTAATGTTTTGCGTATTTTAAATCCATATGGTAGTGATAATATGATTATGTTCTATGTCGATTATCAAGCACAATGGCATGTGATGGAATTAATTCCATTCGCTTTACTCGGTTTACTTGGAGTAAGTCGTCTGTAGTTTCAGTCTATGGCTACACATATTAATTAATTTCCATTTTGATTTTTACACATGATTATAGGTAGTTTAATTCGTTATTTCTTGCCATTTAGAAGAAAGGAACAAAATGAATACTAAGTCGACGATACATGGTCCTTTTGTGACAAAGTTTTGATGTGTAAGCTCCGTACCTCAAAAGGCCTTACCATTAGAGGCAGAAAATTCATGGGTTAAAATGGAATAGACCTTTCCTAATTCTCGTTTTTTATGAACGGGGATAGCATTACTTTAGGTGCTAGTTGTCTGGAGTAGACACAACTTGATACTGTCAGTAGTATCATTCTACATTCGGACCGTAGGTTTGGTGCTTTTGTTACTACTGTTAATCAACCAACCTGCTTGTCGTAGTATTACTTAAAGGAACAAGTGGTACAATCTATGTAGCTGGATTTCACTATTATGACACGAGAACCCAACCACTACTTAAAAGTGGCACTTATAGTTGTAAAATGACGTAAACTACCGTAAAGCTATATAAGCCAAACAGATGCTCTTTTCATCTTCTCACCACCAATAGGTATTCGGGTTGTAATCTCCGTTAATTGTAGCTAGATTCGAATAGATCGATTAAAAAAATGTTTTATCAGGAGTCTTCGTGTTAGATGATATTTTCACAAATACATTATGGTCTACAAAGAGCTGCAGATCATTCTCATTTTCCTAATTACTTCATGTTTATATACGATACGGTTACGTGTGGGAAACTTACTTACACCTGCTACCCCTCGTGAAGGAGGAACATAGAATTTCTTCATTGTAAGCTTAGCTCAATGGACAGCTGTTCGAAGTTGACAATATCCTAACCTTATGGAAATGATAGATTTAATCTTGTGTTATGGCCCATTTATTTTTTAGATCTTACTTTCACACCGAATATCTTTCGAGTTATAATTATGCTATTTTTTAATCCAACTTTTATAACACTTCCTGTTTGTATAAGATACAGTTATGTGTGGGAAACGTACTCACAACTGTTACCCCTCGTAGAGGAGCATAGACTGCTCATTAGCATTCTCCATGCAACTCTGTCCTGGGCAATCCTTTCCAGCTGTTATCCATCCTTTTCATGTCTGCTTCGAATTCCCCGCATAGTGTGTTCTTTGGTCTTTGTGTTTTGAGTTTCCGTTCAGAATTCCAAGTTAGTCCTTGCCTCATGATTCAGTTTGATGATTTCCGAAATGTGTGTCCTATCCATTTCCATCGTCATTCCCTAATTTCCTGCTCACCTGGGAACTGGTTTGTTCTCTCTCACTGTAGGTTGTTGCTGATGGTATCCGACCGACGGACATTGAGTATCTTATGTATACAATTGTTTATAATTACTTGTACCTTTTTGATGATGATTGTAGTAGTTCTTCACGTTTCAGCTCCGTACGGTAGAACTGTCTTGATGTTCGTATTGAGAATTCTGACTTTGATATTGCTTGAGAGTTGTTTTGAGTTCCATACGTTCTTTAATTTTATGACTGCTGTCCTTATTTTGCCAATCCCCGCCTTTACGTCTGCTGTTCTCCGTGTTGTATTTGAGGACCTTGGTTTTCCCCTTGTGTATATCGAAGCCTACTGATGCAGAGGCTGCTGCTACACTGGCTGTTTTTATCTGCATTTTTCATGTGTATGCGATCGGATGGCTATGTCATCTGCGAAGTCCAAATCGTCTAATTGGTTCTGAGCTGTCCATTTTATTCAGTGTTTTCCCTCGGATGTCGAGGTCTTCATAATCCAGTCGACCACCAGAAGAAAGAGGAAGGGAGAGAGTAAACAGCCTTGTCTTACTCCGTTCCTTAATTGGAATGCATTTGTCAGCTGTCCTCCATGCACGACTTTGCACTGTAGTCCGTCGTATGAGTTTCGGATAATATTGACAATCTTCTCAGGAACTCCGTAGTGTCGAAGAAGTTTCCATAACGTCCTCCTATCCACACTGTCAAATGCCTTTTCATAATCAATGAAGTTTATATGTAGTGACGAGTTCCACTCAACTGATTTTTCGACGATGATCCGTAGTGTTGCAATTCGGTCTGTGCATGATCGATCCTTACGGAATCCAGCTTGTTGATCTCGAAGTTGGGCGTCTACTACATCTTTCATCCGGTTCAGCAATACTCTGTTGAAGACCTTCCCTGGTATTGACAGCAGTATAATGCCTCTATGGTTTTCACATTTGCTCAGATCTCCTTTCTTTGGAATCTTGACGAAGTGCCCTTCTTTCCAGTCCATCGGCACTTGTTCCTCCTCCCAAATCTTTTTGAATAGAAGGTAAAGCATGTTTGTAGTCATTTCAATGTCTGACACCAGTGCTTCAGCTGGTATGTTGTCCGGTCCCACTGCTTTCCCGTTCTTGATTTGTCTGACGGCCATTCTGATTTCTTCCTTCGTTGGTGGGTTAACATCTATAGGAAGATCTGTGTGTACTGCATCAATGTCCGGTGGATTCATCGGAGCCGGCCTATTCAAGAGTTCATCGGAGCACTCCACTCATCGATTCCGCTGTTGTTGAATTTGAGTGATTGGCCTGCCTTCTTTGTCTTTGACCGGTCTCTCTGGTCTGCTATATTTCCCTGCTCGTTTCTTCGTTGTATCGTAAAGCTGTTTCATATTTCCTTCTCTAGCAGCTTTTTCCGCCGTCGTTGCTAGTTCTACTACATCTTTTTTCTTATCGGCTCTAATGCTCCTCTTCACTTGTTTGTTTGCTTCTGTGTACTCAACTTATGCTTTGACCTTCTCCACCCTTTGTCGGCTGTTGTTAATTGCTGTCTTCTTGTTCTTTCCTTCTTGAATCTTGTCAAGGGTTTCCATCCCTTATGATGATGCTTCTTATGGCCCAGAACCTCCTGACAAGCTGAAATTAATGCTTCTTTGATACTTTTCCAGTTTCCCTCCACAGTAGTTTCTTCTTTCAGTAGATCCTGTAAGGCTTGGAACCTTTTGTTGTGAGTTATCTTGAATTCAGTGAGTTTATTAGTATCTTGAAGGAAGCTGTGTTGAACCTTTATAATGCTGTTCTTCCGGCTGTCCACTCTTCCTTTAGCTTCAGTTTCATCTTAGCCGCCACCAGGTGATGGTCTGAATCTATGTCAGCTCCTATTCTGGTTCTCTTATCTTCCATTGTCCTTCGGAATTTTTTATTGATGCAATTATGATCTATCTGGTTCTCTGTGGTGTAGTACAATGAGATCCATGCAGCTTTGTGTATACGTTTGTGTGGAAATATTGTACTGCATATGACCAATTTGTTGAATGCATCCAGATTTGCAAATCTTTGCCAATTTTCGTTTCTCTCTTCCAGTCCATGTCGTCCCATGATATCTTCATATCCGGTGTTGTCTATTCCGACTTTGTCGTTTAGATCTCCCATCAGAATGATGAGGTCCTTTCTTGGACACTTCTCTATTATTGACTGCAGACTCTCATAGAATCGATCTTTAGTGTCGTCGTTGCTATCATTGGTGGGTGCATAACATTGGATAATATCCATTGTGATCCCTTCCTTCTATGTTTTGAATGGTGCATTGATGAATCTGAATCCGTGAGATTACCATCCTACAAGTGCATTTCGTGCTACTTTGGACAGCATTAGAGCAACTGACTGAGTGTGTGGAGCATTTTCCTCTTCGTGACCGGAGTATCTAGCCTTTGTTGTCCAGGTTGGTACAATGGGTTTCGCTGATTCCAAGTACTGCCAAGTTGTATCTCCTCATTTCCGTTGCTATTTGACTGGTCTTCCCGGTCTCCCATATTGTTCGGACGTTCCATGTACCTACAAAAAGTTTTGCTCTGGTTGTTCGAAGGGGCATCGGCCTCGTGACTTCCGAGGGAACTGGACTTTCACTATGAGGCGTCGTAGTTCTTCTAAATGAAGACCTAACTCCCAGGCCAGAGTTTAAATGGTGTGAATCATTTTTTTCTGGTCAGTGTTTTTTAGCGAGTTAGTTTTCTACGGGATGGGGTCGCTAACCCCATGCCCAACCCTCATCCTTTACCCTGGCTTGGGATCGGCAATAACTCTAGAAGAGCTACAGACGGAGTTTGGAAAACATAAGATCTGTACAAATATCTGAAAACGTAGAAAACGCGATACAATTGAGTAGGTAGTATACTTATAAAAGGTTCAGAATTGCGTCAATTCATTAAAATCGCCAGTTTTGTGCATTATCTCATTATATTGACTTGTAGAACTCGTGACTTATTATTTTCAACCTTCCCGATTATGATTCTCTCAAAAACATGGTTAGAGTTAGTTTCAATATATTTCATTCATTACCATATAATACTGTTATCATTCGTTTAGGTCAACGTATCTTTGAGATTTCGACAGTCTCATTTTGAGACTAATCAGTATTTTTCCAACCTTTCTAGAAGACATTATTTAATTATTTTTGTTTCTGAATTTTTAAAAATTCTTTATTCATATAATAATAATTTATATATTACAGGGTATTTTTGGTACAGTATTTAATCGAGCGAATTTGTATGTCTGTCGTTTGCGTAAAACCACCTGGTTAGGTAAATATCCTGTTCGTGAGGTACTTATTGTTACGCTAATTACTGCTGTTCTTTCATTTCCACATACTTATCTTCGTATGAATACCAGTGAACTGATTAAACTTTTAGTTAGTCGCTGTTCTCCAGGATCTGATTTCTCTCTGTGGTAAGAAGACAAATTATATTTATGCTTATTGACATAATACTTATTGGTTACATATAATTAATTCCATATTTTTTTTACGTCAATTGAATTTCATCCTATGAGATGTATTGTTTAACTGTGAAACGTCTATCGTCCTTCTGGATAACACCAGGCTGAACATATATCTGAAGTTAGTTTTGATTATGTTGTCCAGTAGGACAACAGACAGTTCACAATTAAACTTTTGAGCTCACAAAAATCAACCTGGGTCACAAATCCTTTTCATCATCTCAAACAAATCAACTCAGATTGCTTCAATTAATTTTCTTTAACCAGCTGCTCCATATGACTGATAGTAGTCGTTAGCGAAGGTTATTCATTATTAATCCACTACACACAAATTAGAGGTTTAATTTTATTCAACTTTCAGGTAATGGTGAAAGTAGTGCTAGTGCATAATTTATTACCGATGTAAAAATCAAAATGTTCAGGTATTTTTTAGTTTTAATAAACGGTGTTTACTGTTTTGTTTCACCTTGTTATTTTGGAGACTTCTTGAATGCAGTAGTTGCTCACGAATCCTCCCAATATTGAATTCAAGACCATCAAGGTTTGTATAATGTTTCGGTTAAACCTTCAAGATATATATAAAATAACTGTGGATAATAATGTTATGTCTTGATATAGAATAGATCGGACGTAATTAGAAATGTAATCCAGAACGCGCGTTTCATCCTGTTCGGAACTCGTCATCTGGATGTCCCTGAATATATATCTTAATTGGATATTGAAATAAACATTTGCAGCCCCTGGTTTTTTGATTTCTCATATTTTATTCATTAGGGGCATTTAAACTTCTACTTAGCAAAAAACAAAACACATCTAAGGACTTTTACTTCAAATTTATTTCTCTGAGTAAAAGAACCGTTTTACTTTGTCAACTTTACAGAACTAATAAAGATAGTAAGTTTCGTAGCGGTTGATCGTAATCGAAAAATTCTTTCTACGATTTATTTAAACGCGATTGTAAGGGATAGCTTACACGTAAAGTTTTGGACGTTTTCAGTCTTCTTTCTCATACAATGAATTATCTTGACAATCTTTTCTCAAATAAGAACAAACAAACTTCTCATTGAATGCATTGAATTTCTTTCATTTTGTATGAACTAATTATTTTTCACACCCATATACATTAACTAATTTTTATCAATAAGATACTTTACAATTATGGTTTACTTGTGGAAACGTGTTTAAAAAGCAATTCTGTTTATCGATAAGAGAGTAATCATTGATTTTCTCGTACAATTATATAAACTGATATATATATATATATATATATATATATATATATATATATATATAATATCAAATGGCTTACAACACACATAGAATAAATATTTTTTTATCAAACAATCGTTGTTGTTCTTCGTGGTTACATGATAACTCCTAGTTTAAATTGCAAGAACTACACTGGTCACCATCGTTAGGATGATTTAATTTTCTTTGTAAACAGTAACTAGTAATATACCGTTGTATGGTCTAATACATCTGCTCAATTCACAATACTAAGTGGTTTTAAAAATGTGATAATTGAAATTTTGAATGACAATACTGGTTCTCTACCATCCTGAGGTTCGAATACCTTTGTAACATTTCTCTTTTGATTTCTGTCAGTAAAATGTAGGTCTAAACTCCGTTTCTCTTGAAACAATTGAGATGCTCTAGTAGTATTGTGGTGTGTGCTACTTATATTGACATAAGTAGTATATGATGTTAGTCGTGAACAGAAGGTCTGGCAGCAGAGAGACAAGAGGATCGAACAGTAAAGAATGGAAACAGGATGCAATTTGTATGAAAATGCAAGAACAATGGAGTCTGAGTCATTTTGAGACAATTGATGGACATTTTTTTCAAATTAAGCATTTACTTTATGATTGTTAGATTTTATTAACAAGTCCTGTAATTTTATGTTAAGTACATTCTATTGTCCCTACTGGTGTTCTTGTTCCCTACAGTACGACTCACCGTTTAAATGGAAAAAAATGTTTTAGGACTAGCCTGTGTTGATGTGCATTATAATTTAAGAGTATGGAGCAACCAGAGGCTCTAATCAATTCAGTTATATTGGAAATGTTATCAACTCTTTTTTAACAACCTGCGCCGCCTGTGGCGCAAATGATTTATGCACTTGTCACTCAGGCGGCAAATGTACTGTACATCCCTCTCAATTATTCTGGCTTGGATGGAACTAGTTTCAAGAATAGCTGAGAGTGGCGAGGTAACGGCGTGCCATCGATCCATGGTGACAGTGGTTGTTGTTTTGAGTAGTGTTGCTGGCTACAGAACACCTGGTTAGGGGCCGTACAATTGTTGGAGATCTTATTTGACTTTTTTTTCAAAATCAGTCCCTATGTCGCAAATTCATTCATCATTATTTTATTTTAGGTCTTCAGTTTCAATGTTATTCCGTACTTTTTATTTTTCCATTTCATTTTCAACCATAAACTGTGTTTCATATTTCTTACTATCCATTATACCAATAGTGTTTAAGCACTTTTACAAATCTTTGCTAACTTATTTCATTTTGAAATTAGTGTGGCAACTTGGGCCAATAAACGTACACCTATTACAGCTGGCCTCATCCGATGTCTCCAAACTAGGTACACAAAACATGTACCAAGTGAATAAGTCAGGTTATTATTTATCTATCATGTCAATTTCTCATGTACTTATTTTTCATTTACTTTAGAATAAATAATCATTTTTTGTATCATGATATAATCGAAATTCTGCTTACAATCTCTATCTTTTGTTTTTTCTCCCTCTTCAGTAATTATCATTATAATACAAGTAATCCAATGACTAAAGTATATCAGAATTATCCTGCCGGACCATCATTGTCTACAGCAATGGTATTGTTGGCAATCGCATTGATTTTAAAACTTATTCTAACAGTCTTCACATTTGGTATCAAAGTACCGACTGGTTTATTTATTCCATCGTTAGCAGTACGTATTCCTTGTTTTGGCCATCTTTCTGGCAGTTACTAGTAAAAATGCATTGCTTTTTTTTACTTGCTAAATTTAAGTTAATGATTTTAGAATTGTCGCAATTACGGATCCAGCAAATTCTTAGATGACTTAGTAATTGATTTCCATACAACCACCGTCCTATGAATAAACCTTAAACTTTATTTCAAGTTTAGTTCGTGTAATGAGATGAATAGTGGTTTATTGTTTTCTTTTTTTTCTTTAAATTGTTTAATTTCAATTTAATTTCTATCTCTTTTAATATAATTCAGGCTGGTGCAATTATGGGTCGTATGTTGGGTATAGCTACTGAACAACTTGTTGTAGCGTATGCATCACATCCATTTATTGTTAAAATGTGTAAATCTTCTCAACCGTGTATTAATCCGGGACTTTATGCTATGGTTGGAGCAGCGGCTACTCTTGGTGGTGTGACTAGAATGACTATATCATTAGTTGTAGTTATGCTTGAGTTAACTGGCGGGTAAATTTATTGTTACTATTTTGTTAGTTTTATTGTTATTATTTGTCGAAATGCTGATACCTGCTACTTGTTTACTTATTTTAATGGAATAAAGACTGATATTAATGACTGCAAATAAGATTGATCCAATAATTAATGACTGATTAAAACGATATAAACAATTATACTGACATGTATGTCACTAGTATTGAACTGGCAATGGTGTTGGTATTATTCAATCAATAGTTCATTCTATGCATACGATTAAAAAAATCCATAACTTAACTGTTTCAAATGAGATATATAATTAGTCAATTGTTTTCTTCTTGACACAATCGCATAAAAGTTATGGAAATTTGATTGGACTATTGTGTCATTCCATGTAATGTTCTTCATTGTTATTCTATTTTTAAGGTTTGGTAATTAATTATGAGAAATTAGTTTTGTAGAGATTCTCGTTTGTTTTTAAGGTCTGATTTATTCTGGTACTTATTTTAATCGAAAACGTATTCCACTGATTTGGGATTCATCAACAATGCTATCCGATAACTTTGTTCTCTATGGTGTTCATAATTTTCATTATATTAATCAATTTTATTTAGACTAGGAGCAAGGATTTCAATAGGAAGTTTAACAGTATCTAGTCAATTGTACTTCACATGAAACACAAATTGATGTCACTTTTGATGTGTAAACATGGCTTTTTCTTCACTATACATTATATTAAGTTAATCTTTATTTCAAAAGTTGATATCAGTTGGATAGAAGCTTTTTATTCTTCATTAATTCTCCTCAGTGATAGTGTCCTCTTATAATCTCACTGGAAGAATGGAACTTGTGATTTGCAGGTTTTTGCGACCAACATGTTATTTCTAGACAACCATATCAGAATCCAGTGATCTATATACCCGACGTTAGTCGATTTGAGACATTATTATTATTGTCAATGGTTTTATTCAGTTTTATATTATTAGTACAGTACGGAATTCTTAGTACAAAATATTTCAATACGTTTTTTTTTTAAAAAAAGAACCATCGATATATATATATATATATATATATATATATATAAACAATCTGGAATTCAATGAAATGTTTTCAAGATGATAAGAGAATCTTACTTACGCCTGTTACTCTCAATGGAGCATAGGCCGCCAACTAGCATTCTCCAACCCACTCCGTCCTGGGCCTTATTTTCTAGTTCTATCCAATTGTTCATTTTTCTAATGTCTGTCTACATTTCTCGGCGTAATGTGTTCTTTGGTTTTCCTCTATTCCTTTGGCCTCGAGGATTCAATGTGAGGGCTTGCTCTGTAACGCAGTTGGGTGCTTTCTTCAGTGTGTGTCCTACTCACTTGCAGCGCTTCTTCCTGATTTCTTCCACCGCTGAAATCTAGTTTGTTCTCTCCAAATGCCATTTCGTAGTCAATGAAGTTGACGTAGAGTGATGAATTCTATTCAATTGATTGTTCTACAATGATCCGTAGAGTTGCTGTTTGGTCTGTACAGGATCTGTCGTTACGGAATCCTGCCTGTTGATCTCGAAATTGGGTGTCTACGCAGTCCTTCATCCCTTTTAACAGTACCCTGTTGAAAACTTTTCTCGATATTGAAAGAAGAGTTATGCCCCTGTAGTTATCACAGTTGCTGAGATCGCCTTTCTTCGATATTTTGATCAGAAGTCCTTCTTTCCAGTCTGTTGGTACTTGTTCCTCATCCCAAATCTTATTGAAGAGAATGTGGAGTATCCTTGCAGTTGCCGCTACGTCTGCTTTCAGTGCCTCTGCTGGAATGTTGTCTGGTCCTGCTGCTTTGTCACTCTTGATTTGTCTGATGGCCATGCTGATTTCTTCAATTGTTGGTGAGCCAACGTTGATTGAGAGGTCCGTGGGTGCTGTTTCGATGTTGGGTGGGTTCAGTGGAGCTGGTCGATTCAAGAGTTCTTTGAAGTGTTCTACCCACCTGTTTCGTTGCTCTTCAATGTTAGTGATTACCTCGCCTTCCTTGCTTTTCACTGTTAGTTGTGGTTTGTGGTGATTTCCAGAGAGTTTCTTTGTTATGTCATACAGTTGTCTCATGTTTTATTCCTTGTCGGTTTTGATGCTCCTCTTCACTTGTTTGTTTACTACTGTGTATTCAGCTTGTGCCTTGGCTTTTTCTGCTGTTGTTCGGCTGGTATTGATTGCTGCTTTCTTGTTCCTCCTTTCTTGAATCTTATCCAGTGTGTCAACAGTGATCCATTCCTTGTGATGGTGCTTATTGTGGCCCAGGACCTCATGACATGTTGAAGTGATTGCCTCTTTAATCCCCTTCCTGTTGCTCTCCATAGTAGTTCCTTCTCCATTGAGTAGATCATGAAAGGTCTGGAACTTGTTGCTGAAGACTATTTTGAATTTGTTGAGTTTGTCAGTATCCTGAAGAAAGGCCATATTGAACTTTTGTGATACTGTCCACCCGGTTGTCCGATGTTTCTTGAGTTTCAATTTCATCTTGGCGACCAGCAAGTAATGATCTGATGCTAAGTCAGCTTCTCTCTTGGTTCGCACGTCCTCGTGAACTTTTTGTTGATTCAGATATGGTCGATTTGGTTTTGCCTAGTGTGATGCAGTGAAGTTTATGTAGTTTTGTGTATGCGTATATGTGGGAATGTTGTGTCGCCTATGACCAGTTTATTGAGGGCACATAGGTCTGCAAATCTCTCACCATTTTCGTTTCTTTCTCCCAATCCTTGTCGTCACATGATGTCTTCATATCCGGTGTTGTCCATTTCAACCTTGACATTTAGGTCTACCATCAAAATGGTCGGGTTCTTTCTTAAACACTTCTCGACGATTGACTGCGGCTTATCGTAGAATTGATCTTTAACGTTTTCATTGTAGTCGTTGGTAGGCGCATAGCGTTGAATGACGTTTATTGTAATACCCTTTTTCTTAGTTTAAAAGGAGGATTTGATGATCTTTGGTCCATGAGATTCCCATCCCATAAGTGCATTTTGTGCTTGTTTGGATAGCGTCAATGCAACTCCTTGCGTATGTGGGACATTTTCTTCTTCATTACTGGAGTATAACAGAATCTCCCCTGAAGCCATCATTCAGTATCATGTCACATGGGTTTTGTCCCTTGATGAATTATGAGTGTTTTAAGCAAAAATGAATCAGTTTTTTACTGATGTTAATTTGTGTTGACAGCACACTTCAAATTAAGCAAGATCCGTAAACATCCTTCCTTTTAGATATTCTCTCTGCTAATATTAAATTATATAAGATGACACTTAATCAAAGATACCATACGTTTTAATGTATTTGTTGTTGTGGTATTTTAAAATTCACATCCATTCAAGATAACAAACAAACGATTTCATGTAAAGCATCACTTCATTCATGAATGTAGATACGGGTAACTGATGCATATCTACCCATGCGAAACCTAGATTTAAGCATTCCTGTTGACTACTCTTAACCAAATAATTTCGAAGCATATTGCATCAATCAATGTAATCGGATTCTTCTATTTTTGTTTCATTGATTAATCTGTGTCAATTATTTGATTAACTTACCCATAGGATAGAGATAACATGTCTCATTTTTTTCATTTTCATTCTTCCGTTTTTAAAAGTTTTGTACAAATTAATTATCTCATCTACTATCTGATCATGAAAGTAGAATATCACGCTGCAGAATTTTTTTTCCAGAGTCATTAAATTTATTTATATCTCATTCTTATTTAGAATGAAGCATAATTTTATACATATAGATAGAAATCTATTTGCCTACAACATACTTATTCTCTGATTGAAAATATTGTATCATAAAAATTTACAAGTGTTCAGGAAGTTTAATATTGTTCATATTTGATGATGAACAAGTGTATTAGTTATCAGTTAGTTAGTTTTCGATTTCCGTTTACTTTCAATTAGTTATTTAGAATAAATTTGCAAACTATATACAGTATATTATCTTGTTATATGTCATCCAAAGCGTTGTTTCGTTTCATTACATATTCATGCGAATTATTTGAGTAGGCAGTTAGAAACAATAAACAATCTGTGTTTATTGCATAACGGTTTAAATTGTTGTATCTTACATCACTATAGTTTTTATATTGACTTCTTTTTGTTCGTTTACCTTATCATATTAAATATAACAGATTTTCATAATTCGAAATGATCAATTTTAAACTTACTCCTAGATTGTTTCAATACTTTATGAGGCTGTCAGTATTGTACTTGTTCTTAAAAAGAAAGTATACGGATATTTCTTTCTCTACCTACTGTGTTTAAAATTATTGATTATTGTCATTATGAGAGTGATTTTGAAAGTTTGAACAAATATCTTAATGACGTGTACAACAGGAAGAAACTGGATTTCGTTTCATCATCATTCTTATTGTTACAACGTCTTATTAATTATTTCATTGTTGTCTATTGTGTATTTTGTTATTAACAATAATTATGTACATTTTCCTTTTTCTTTTTTTTTTTCTTAAAAAAACAAATACCATTTTTAGTTTAAATTATATAATTCCATTAATGATTGCAGCTATGGTTAGTAAATGGACTGGTGATCGATTAACAAATGGTAGTATTTACGAAGAGCATATACGATTAAATGATTATCCATATCTTGGATCGTATGATGAATTAGATAATACATTAGTAGCAGCTGATGTAATGCATCCACGTAGGTGAGTATACAATTTTATTTTTCAAAGGATTTTTGTTGTTCTTTATTTTTTTATTTGTAACTAATAACTTGATAATACTTTGATTGTGGCTAGATGTCATGGAGTAATGTGAAGAGTGGGTGTTCGACTTTGAATTACTAAGTGTTAGGTTCGAGTTCCGCTGTATGTACTACAGTTCCAGGGAAGGGAGGCGTATCTGGATAATATCACTAGCCCGTACACAGAAACTATGGCTTAAACGGATTTTTACTTAGATAGATGAGTGCCGTTTTATAAATAACTAGGATTTTGAATGCAATTGAAAATTCACTTACTGTAAAGATCATCATCATCAGAGTTACAATTAAGGACGTGTGTAAGTAATCTTTTGTTTAATTAATTATTCAATTCATTTATCAGGTGAAATTTTCATTGAATTGGATTGATGTAACGGTGTAGATTAATACTGAATGTTTAGTGTCGAATACTTCTCTCATCAACTAATGGTAATAATCAACTTAGGTATCTTCCTTGTAACTTTGTTTGTTCTCGATAAAACAGTTAATACTATTGATTTAACGATTTATTAGGTTCAATAAGAATAACTGACTAAATCGGCCATCATAATTTATTCATTTGTTGAATTTACGGTGAGACCATAATTTATGGACGACCATTGATCGACGCTAAATTGACTTACTAACCAGAACTAAATGACAGCTATAAACCAGTATGACGAATTATCATTAGGATTTCTAGGTAATGGTTAGGGTTAGGAATAAGGCTTGGGGTTTTCATCAAGAACCGACATCAGCTAAAATACCGAAACGCTATTTAAACAAATGAATGACTTAACTTCACGTTAAAATCCCATACCTGTTATCTTATATCTGATTGGTCCGTCCATAAATTATAATCTCACCGAATTTACTAATCATTTTGAATGATTATAATCGTCTATATTTTATAAATGTATTGAAAATATTGGAAAATACTTTATTGTAAACGTGTCTATAAATCATGTTATTATTTGATAAAATTGATTGATAGTTGTATTTTGCTGTTGTTCATTCAGGAGTTTTCTTATGTTAATGAGATTTACTAGTCATGACTAGTGTATGCATATTTTATTGAATTTAGACTAAATGAAGTAGATTATTATTATTATTATTATTATTATTATTATTATTATTATTATTATTATTCAATGTATAATTAAGTGTACGTGTTAGAATACCTTTAAGTGTACGATGTCTTCGTCAGTCTTCTGTTTTTATCTCCTTTTTTTTCTATTTGACTTCGTAAGAAATTTCATTCATCACCCTGGCTAAAACATTTGGAACTAATTTGTGTTGTTCATTTTATAAACATAAAACAGATAGACATAAACAACTTAAGACCTAGTTCAAATGTGTACAAGTTATACATAACTATACTCAACACCAACTTACCCTATAGTAGGTTGAATGGAAGCTAAAGGTGGTCAAACTAAAATGTGACATCAGTTCATAAAGTCACTGAGATGTAGATTATGTGAATTTTGTCAAACTAATGAAAAGATTGTTATCTTAGACCATTCAACTAATGTGCTATATTGGGATGAATCAATTACAACCATAAAGATATAATAATTTAAATTGATAGCATAACATGTCTAGATCGATTGATTTTAATGTTAACATTTATCGTTCTTTTTCGTTTGTCAGTTATCTCCATTCTGTGGTCTTATTACAATATTTATTGTTATAAATTAATTGAATTATTTGTTGAGTTTCGTTAATATTCATCTGTGATATTTGTATGAAATAATGATTCCTTTTTACTGGTCTAATTCAAAATACAGTACATTGGTTTGTGTCTATCTAGTACTTCCTAATCCAGTTGCGTTATTTCTGGTATTCTTAGTTTGTGCTATCATTCAAATACTCTTAATTATCACATCATCCTTTCTGGAAAAATAATAAGCAATGTATATTTGGTTGAAGTTTGACAAACGCGATTGGATATCAGTTCGTTAGTTTCAAGATTAAGCGTTCTCACGTAAGAGCGAAGGTCTTGGGTTCAATCCATTTTGATGGAGTCATGGGTACGCACAGATGAATAGTCCCATACTAGAACGAAATAGCTGTGCAGTACCTCCTTGGTTGCCAGTTGAGGTGTAACGGGAACTGGTTCATAATATGAAAAATCAATAAGCCAAGTATCACAATTTTCATTAAACTTATTGATAGTTATTTTTTGTACAGGTTAAAATGTTCTTTAAAGTATTAATGCTGTTCCAAGTATGTAAATTGGATGGAGCAACGCCATCCAGATCCCGTCAACCAATAACTCTATTAACAATTACTTATGATGACTAGCTGATTTCCTAATGTCAAGACATATTGAATTTATTTCATTGTAGTAATATAATAATAAGTCACTCAAATTTCGTAAGACTCCGCTTGTAGCTATTATAGAGTTACCGACAGTCCCACACAAAGGAGAAGGGTCGTACATGGAGTCGGCAAGCCCATCCAGCAGAAAAAAACTTGCTATAAAACGTCCACCAGAGTGAGATCATCCAAATGATCTAAACTCTGACATGAGAGTTCAAGGATCTTTATCTAGAAGAATTATGACGCCTCGTGATGAAAGCCCAGATTTTTCGGAAGTCACGAAGTCGATGCCACTTCTAAGAACCAGAGCAACAATTAATATAAATATACGGAATGTCCGGACACTGTGAAAAACCAGGAGAACCAGTCAAACAGCTACTGAAATAATAAGATACAACTTGGCGCTGCTCGGAAACAGTGCAAACCATTGGACAGAAAAGACTAGATACGGGAGAGATGCTGTTGTATTCAGGTCAAGAAGAGGAAAATACCCCATACACTCAGGGTGTTACTCTGATGTTGTACAAAGAAATCTATGAAGCACTGATAGGATGAGAATTTTTTGGACTCAGAATCGTCAGAGCATCATTCAAAACAAAGAAGGAAGAGATCACAATGAACGTTATCCAATGTTATGCACCCACCAGTGATAGCAACGGCGACAATAAAGATCAGTTCTATGAGAGGTTGCAATCAATCACAGAGAAGTTCCCAACAAGGAGTGTCACCATTCTAATAGGAGACCTAGACGCCAAGGTCAGAATAGACAACATCGAGTACGAAGATATCATGGGACAACATGGATTGACTGGGAGAAAAGGATGGGAATGGTGACAGATTTGTAAATCTATATGCATTCAACAAATTGTTTTTGTTTAGCAGTATATTTTCACACAAACGCATACATGAAGCTACTTAGGTCTCACCGGATCACACTACACAGAACCACATTGATCATATTTACATTAGTGAAAAATCCAGAGGGTCAGTGAAAGACGTGACAACCAGGTGATGAGAGGAGCTGACACAGTCTCAGATTATCACCACCTGGTGATTGCCAACATGAAACTGAAACTAAAGAAACAGTGGGCAGCCGGTGAAACAGCATTACAATAGTTCAATGCAGTTTTCCTTCAAGATACTCACAAACTCAACCAATTCAAGATAGCTCTCAGACACTGGCTACAATCCTTACAGTGTGAAAGCATTAGAACCTGACACTACATCAACTGAAGCACTTAAGTTAGACACAGAGGTAACTGTGAACATGCTCCACGTTTTATTTAGGAATATATGGGAGAAAAAAGGTACTGACAGATTGGAAAGAAAGATACCTTATCAAGATACCAAGGAAAAGAGATCTGAGCAAGTGTGAGAACTCACCTACAAAGACATCACACTTCCTTGACTATAAAAAGCATTTGACAGTGTGGATAGGAAAATATTATGGAAACTTCTTCGACACTATGGAAGTAGCAACACGTCTATATGCATGCATTTTCAATACGATTTCGTTATTGATAACGTCAATTAATTGACTTGTCTTATTCCTTTTTCCTTTCTCGTTATTGTCTATAATGTTTCCATCTGTTTTTTTCAGAGATTCTAATTCCCCTCTATATGTTGTTACACAATATGATATGACAGTTGGTGATCTAGACCAATTGGTTAGTAGATGTGATGTTAAAGGATTTCCTGTTGTTGTTTCACAAGATTACCCATACCTAGTTGGATGGGTTTCAAGAAGAGAGTTACGTTGGGCTTTGGGTAAGCTATTAGAAAACTATCATTGAATTATTATAAAGTATTTTGCTTGTGACTCGTTGATATCTACTTATATATGTTGATAGTTAAACGTTATTATGTTCAGTAGGTACAATTAGAATTCCTGTGAGATTTTTCTAAATCAATTTTAATTAAAAACATTTTCGATTATTTAATTGTTTGTAGATTGATGTAGTTGATTTATTGTGTAAACTATTTTTGTCAGAAGTGAATGTTGATTACAGAATTAATTAAATGTTGGTCCACATTAACCTCAAATAACATTTTGTATTTAATAAATACTTATCTTTTGAATCTTTCGTCAGATATTTATATAACTGATAACTGTTGATAGTTACAACTTGCAATATGAGTTAATGAATACTTGTAACTCGGATGGATGATTTTGATGGTCTTTCGTTCTCTGAGCTGGATGGCTTAGTCGTGAAACTTTCAGGCAACAATTCAGTCAGAATTAAGTCATTCAAATACTAATTTTTGATGTTAACTGAATGAATGTATTCATAAGGATGCGATTTCGACTCCCATTTCGTTTGTAAATATCGTAGTGCTACAAGAGTTTAGCGGCGGTAACATAACATACACCTCAAGAGATACATTATCCCCCTTATGTCTGCAGCGGCACTTTGCTAACGAGTGCTAAACTGGCTTAGAAACTTCCTTCCTTCTACCTCCAACCAATCAACGTCATTACTTAAGTAATTCCTCGTTGAATAATTCTATTAATTGTGGTAGATACCATCAGTTTGTTTAAAGTGTCTTGTGTAGCTCAGTCAGTAAAACAGTGTATAATGATTTAAAATCTAGTTGTGAATAGTCATTATCATTTATTATCCCTTTGACTAATTTTACTTGCAAATCAATTTTAAAACACCAATTGCTTACTTTTCGAGATGGCTAGGTGGGTGGATAGTTTATACGTTGTTCTACTTGTCTGTATTTTTGTTTACTCATTTCTGTCATGGAACTTGATTGAGAAACAGTTTTTATTATATGCTCATCTCAATGGTTCTGTTTACCATAGATAAATATTGGTTTTACCTGTTTATTATTTATATAATGAATAGATCGTGAAAGAAAATATGATTCAAATATTGTCGATGATTCGCCAGTTCATTTTGCCACATTTCAGCAAGTATATGCAGATGATAATCAGGAATTGACACCTGTCAACTTACAAAATATTGTTGATTTGGTACGTTTTATAATCTAATATCCCGTAATAAATTATTGTTATTGTTGTTGCTATTATTAAGTCCATAGTTTACGATATGTTTATTGGTTTATCAATTTTCTAAATAACAGTAAAACCGTTTCATGGTGACCTTAACGTCCTATTTAGTTATAGTGTTTTTTCGTTATTATTTTAAAAGAAACGTGTTACACGATTCATTTTATTATTTACTGGTATAGATTACTGTATATATTTATGAACTCGCGTTCCCCTGTATCGACATTATTTATATTTGTTTATTGACTGTAGATGTATTGCAATCAGTGTTTTATAAAGTGTAGATGAATAGTTGGTAATTCAGTTTTTTCTGTTTAGTATCTCCATGATCAATTCTGACTGTTGTTTTGCAATACAAGATCCTACCACTATATTTCTCCTTTTTTAATGTCTTGTACAGTACATCAAGCTAAACAGCCAGGGTCTAGGAAACTATGTGATAAGCTAGTAAATCGATTACCAGCGTGGACCAGATATGAAAAGTCGACAATTTATTCATTTAACCAAAAACGATCACGGTTGTATATATCACTACCTGTAAAAAAAAAACATGCTTCAATTGTGATTAATTGTCTACAGTAAACTCCTTGAACAATATGTCTTTGTTTTTTACTTTTGGTGTTTTGGTCCAGGCAATGTGTATCATTTGTAACTTATTCTAATTTCAAACCGTTTAATTGTGTCCTAACTCACTGTTATTGGCGATTTCTGTGTCCTTTTACCATTTAGTCTCCTACAACGGTATCGGATCATACACCGATGGAAACAGTTTTGGATTTCTTTAAAAAGTTGGGCCTCCGACAAATCATTGTTACACGTAATGGGTTAGTAAACGTTTTTGTTTCGTCTACTAAGTGTAATTAAATTTTTAGTAATTGTCAAATACTTTATTCAGTAGTAGTCGTAGACTTGTAAAAAATTGTCTAATTATCTTTATTATCGTTTCTACTATTTATGTCTACGTAGTTTGTTGCATTTCGTGTCGGTAAAATTCACGACGCGAGAGCGAATTTCATATGACATTAACATTTATTATGGTTACCTAGGATATAGGTAAGTTGAAACAAAGCTGATCAGCAAAACGTAATGATCTACTTTCATAAGTTTTAGCATTTAGTCTCTGCTACACCTTCTACTTGATTAACGCAGTATACGATATACAACTAACAGCACTCGAACGTGTAGAATCCTCACAATTCAAAATCAGAAGACAGAAGTGTTTGTAGGGTGAGAATCAAAAATATACAGAAAAATATGTGTATTTATAGTTATTGGCGATAGTTATAACTTAATTCAACTGATGAAGCTCAATGGTCTCAAAGTGTACGAGTAGTGCTTTAAAGGCAAATATTATCGAATAGAAGTGACCTACGGATATCCTATAATTTTAAAGGCCACGTTTGATAGCCATAAAGGTGAACGGAACAAAATACTGAGCAGTAAACTCGTCCTTCAGTTGGCAGATTAATATCTTGCCTGCGCTACAAGTGACGCAAGTTGGCAAAAGTCTATCAAGCCTTTTGAAACTATGCGGGGATTTTGTCAGAGACTGATGAGACTTCTAAGATAAGTGAAGTGATCGAAACACTCAACTGCTTCACGCTATATCATTAATTCTGGGGTTGACATCAACCATTTTCTTAAGTAACATTTCACATTTTGATGGAGAGAAACATATCCCAAACATGCTTGCATTAACACTTAAGGTGTTCAGAAGACTGTATTTTGTCAGTGTATTTAGTAAACAAACTATGTCATCTGCGTATTTCAAGTCAATAAAAGAATATCCTGGTAGGCGATCGACTTCTGATAAGTCAGACAATAAGATTGTTATCTCCAATCGATTATCTTTTACCGGGTTAAATAAAAATGGAAGTGGCAAATCCTGATGAACAGCCAGTCAGTCAGTAACAACGTAGGACTTCGTATTTACATACATCAGTTCGAGTTGCCATACCACATTAGCACAGAGATGCAGTTGTCGATCCAAATCTCATAGTGGTAGAGGTAGTAAAAGTGCAAGCAGTAATCGAAAACATTAGGGCTTGAAGATGTTATTCAAGGAGTGTAATACCGTGAAATAAATTTGGAAAGAGAAAAAAGAAAGGGACATGAAGAATTCAGAAGATTAGAATTTGAGCGAACACAAAGAGTGAATGCACCTGCACCATTGCAAACGACTTTGAGTCATGTTATTCAAGGTCTCTAACCATCGGTTGCTATCGTCTCGCGGTCCCCAACCAGGTAGTCAACAACTACCAACACGACAGTCCACTTGTCAGTGACTTCATGGATTTATCCCATGTTTTCGTCTGACCACCCCTAGCTCTCTTCCAACCTACTCCTACACCAGAAAATATCGCTCGTCGGGGCAGTCGGTGGTTGGGTATACGTAACAAATGTCCCAACCATCTCAACTGATGAAGTTTCACTACTTCATCAATTGACTTTCCATCCTTACCTAGTGTCCGTTTCATAACAACTGAATTACTTAGTGGTCCCAGGATATACGAGCAATGCTTCGAAGACACCTGTGATCAAATACTAGTAATCTACGAATATCCTCTACTCTTACCGGCATAAATGACGCAAGTTGGCAAAAGCTAGTTAAGGCTTCTATATCCGTGCTGAAATTTTGTTACATACCAAACCACTAGAGCTGATGAGACTCGCAAGATAAGTGAAGCGGTTGACACGCTCAAATACTTCACTCCCTATCATTGGTCCAAGTGCTGATGCAACCCAATCGTGAAGCAATATTTAGCATTTCGAGGGGGAGAACCGCATCCCGAACATACTTGCATTGTTGCGTACGGTGGTCAGAAGACTCTGTATTTTGTCAACGTTTTCACCGAATAGAACTATGTCATCGGCATATTCTAAGTTAACAAGTGAATCTCCCGGTAAAAGTTGAACTGTAAACTTGGAGGAGGAAATTTTTATCTTTAAAAGCACGTCAACGACAAGTTAAGCAAGAATGGAGAGAGTGGACAGCCCTGACGAACACCACTTGAGGTAATCAATTCTGATGACAGTTCGCCATAAGCTCTCACTCTACCAGTTGTGTTCCAGTAGAGAGTCTTTATAAGGTTAATGTACTTCCTCTGTACTCCTTTCAGTGACAAACACTGCCATAGAACCTTGCGATCAGCAGAGTCGAATGCCACCTTAAGGTCGAGAAATACTACCATTGTGGGGCGTCTGAATGTGTGTCTGTGTACTAGAACCTGATGTAGTGTGAATATCTGATTTATACAACCACGTCGAGGTCGAAAACCAGCCTGATTTTCTCTAGTTTGCTCTTCACGAGCTTTGGTTAGGCGCTGAAGTATAATTTAAGCTAATATTTTAGACACTATATTAGATAAACTGATTCCTCCGTGATTGTCACAAGAGGACTTTTGTCCAGTCAGATGAGATTACGTTCAGTTCCTTGATTCTACCTAAGACTTCGGTCAATCTCTCTTCTAAAACTGGACCGTCATCCTTAAAAATCTCAGGCGTAAATCTGTCAAGACCTGCTGCTCTCCCACGCTTCAGATTTCCTATAGCTTTTTCATCTTTGTAAAGAGTTTGAGGACTTACATCAACTTTTCTTTTCAGGTCGACCTTTTCTAACCCCTTCCTTCCTTGTGAGAAGGCAGCATCGCTGCAATTGCTGGTTGCCCTTTCTACTGTCACACCCCTCTACATTCAGCAGTACGGTTTCGCCCACAGACCTTGAGTTGCTGCTTTCAGTTTTACTGTTCTCCAATCGAGCTGCCTGGCATGGTAGAATCTACAGAAACATATGTCCCAGCCAACATGGCTCGGTTGGGTCATCACGACAGGCAAGCCCGACCACCGCGTCAAGGTAGCAGCTAAGGTCGGGACTGTTGTTAGATAATCAGTCATAAATAATGAATAATGCTGAACGCCAAATTTAATGCAAGTAGTCAGTGAGCTAGTTAACATCCACTGTCAATTAAATTGCGTTATGCAGATGAAACCAAATTCTTCCTCGAAATATTGTGCTACATAGTGTTCATATAGATTAAATAAAAGCTCCAAATAACTTGATTAATACTCAGTATCAATCACGTAATTGCTTTTATTCTGAATCTTGAAGCCAGGAACGTTCAAATAGGGAAGTGTTTGATACGACTGAAAACCTATGATAATCTCGCAAGTGCATCCGTTTCATACCTCAAAAAATCAAAGGGTTTTATCCAGCTTCATGCGTTCTAGTTTTTATACTCATAGCCTTATATTTTTACTATGATGTTTTTCCGTTTCACTCACCCTACATTTTGTTGCTGGGACGTTTGAGAACCTAAATCAACATAGTTTCATATTCGGTATACTATTTGAATCCACTCACCAATCTTGACAGTCACGTTCATCATATTGGAATCGCCTTTCGTTAACCATCACATTATGGTACTCTATATTGAAAACTGTTTTCAAGTTAATTAGTATTACTTAGAAACTAATAGTCTGAATGTAATATGTAAATGAAGTCTTGATTATTGTGAATTTCCATACATGCACTTTTACACTATCAGTGCAAGTGCAAATCAACTAAATAAAACATTATCAGTAAATAAAATTCGTTCACAGCTCATTCTGTGACGTTAAACAATTTATCCTGGTTCGGTGCCTTCGAACATGAAAAAAATATATCACTTAAGAGCATTTGGATTTCATCTTTTGCAGGAGGTTAGTATATCTAGTGGTTGGTTGAAGTATGTTGAAAAGCTGAGTTACATAACTAGTCGTTCATTAAACTGTATACGTATATAAGCTATCTGTTTTGAATTCTATTTTAATATGTTCGTTTCTGTGTTTCTCCCCTGATCTAGATGTCCTCTTGGTGTATTGACTAAAAAAGATATACTTCGTCATGTTCGTCATCACAATCCAAATAATCGTTAAACAGTAACTTTAAAATTTTAACATAACATTGTTAATATCCTTCCGGTTATCTACTATGATTATTTTTTGTTCTTCTCTATACATAAAACACATGAATATTTGTTCGTTTATTTATTTATTTGTTTCATTTAACGGATAATTTTCATTGGTTTTTATTGCACATTCTCCCTCCATAATCCGTCATTATATATAATCTGTAAAATCTTCTTAGAATGATTACATATTCTTTTCAAAAATTATCTACGAATGATATATGCTTTTATACGTAATGTATAATAAATGATCTCTCCTGTTCTATAAACTGTTATTAACTCTTTTAGAAAAGACATTATTCCAGTTATACCATCCGAAAATTATGCCTATTACATGAAGGTACATAGGTGGTACTGCTAGGTGACATGAATATGTGCATAGTTCGATGTGAAATTCCCTTACTGAGTAATGTTAGATGATGTGTTGTGACTGAGTCGATCGGCAGTTTAAGTTTCCCTATACATTATTCAAGAATAATAAAATCTAGCTAAAGTACTATTTCCCGTGTGATTAAGCTAGAAAACGTTTCCGATATATTATTTCCTGGGATTCTACTTCTTATTAGTACTTTTGATAAAACCGCTGACTTTCGTCAAAATCCATCGTTTTTATTTTTTTAGAGCAATTTATTACCATAACGTATTCATTGTGTTAAGCCATCTACAACCGCATGATCAATGATAAAACTTTGGTTTTATTAGGGTTAACGTTGATCTGGATACGATAGAGAAGTTGTTGGTATAAAAACAGAACGACATTTCAGAAAAAAAAACAAGGAAACGTAAAAACATCACGTTCACATTTAAACACGAATGTTAAAACAAGTTCGCCATTAAATGTATGTAGAAAACTGGACTATGTTTGCCTTCATCGTTTAGGATGCAGGCTTTATAACTCCTTATTTCCTTAAATTGAATGACAAGTCGTTTTCGCTTTCGAAAAAGTCAAACCGTGCTTCAATTGTTCGGTCTAAATGTAGTAAACTATGACTAACAGAACAAGGTTATTTTACAACGTTTCGATGAGTGGAGAAAGTGAAGGTTTATAACGAGATTGAAAAACGTTGGATCAGTTATAATTCGTTTTCATACAAAGCATTTTTTGTAATTTTTCTTGGTGAATTGCATTCGCGAGATCATAAAAACTGACATTTAATAATGGCTTACTTTCTCATAGAAACAACAGAGTGGCATATATTTACATTGAAGGGACAATAATCATATGCAATATCGCGTGTAGGTAGCTCAGTGCGACAAGGTAGGAATAAACTTTGGTCAAAGAAATTAGTATATATAGTAAAAATCAATCTAATTACGAATTGAACGTTAAGCTAAGTTGGATTTAGTCAGAAAATGTCAGATTTAAAACGTTACGATGGATTGCTAAAAGTGTGGATGCACAACTACAACTAATATCATAAACTAAACTGTATCAATCGCCTCATAGATACAATCTACTAGAGTTGAACCAAAATGATTTAACTACTGAACACACGTAATTTGTACTGAATTCGCATTCCTCAATAAATACATACTCTGACTCACCTAGGTCCAGAAAACACTGCCCTAAATACAATTGGAGAAAACAAAGTATGTTACAAGAAAGATGTGTTTCAGATAATAAGACGAAGAAAAATACCCTGATTGATATCAGAATGACTTGTGTTTCGGACTATAAAATACAGAATCAGTGACCTTCCCATTTTCTACTGAGATAATAAACGCACAATAATTGTTGTCTTAGGTGATAAATGTTTAGTTTAATTAACGGAAGATCAGTAATAATAATAATAACAGATAATATAAATACTTATATCCAATACTTTCCTCGCTGTTTGAATCAGCTGATACATAAACACATCAGTCAGCGGTACGTCAAATGAACAGATACACAACATAATAGTAGTATATGCAACAAAAAATTAAGTTTTAGTCTGAACAACTGAAAGGAGTAGATCTAATACAGCAACCCTTTCGATAAGAGATAATGTTTGCACTATGTGATATAACAGCTGCACATGACAAGAACAAGGTGCTTATTAAGCACCATATTAGGCTTAGTTAACGTTGACATGCCGTGAGAACTTCTGAATCTAGTATCCTACTGTTTTAGTATTATGTTGCACTCCTTTATTTGTAGTGAAAGAAGTTGATGCTCTGTTGAGAGATTATGATTAGTATTATTACGTCATAGGAATGTGTAAAATCACTTAATATTTATATACTATTTCATATCCTGCTATTAACTACGAATTGGCGGATAAGATACCATAATTGCATGTCTATGACTTCGATTTCATTTGTTTCTGAAAGATAGACGTCTTCCCTTTTTGACTTCTTTGAATGAGTGCATAAGAGCAATGACGAAAATATTTCACTCCTCTACCATGGATAATGTAATTCACGAACATCTACTAACCGTGGAAACTAGCCACGTTTATACGTGGTTAACAGGTTGCAGTGAAAAGGTAATCCGTCACTTTAAGCAAGTGGAAGAATGTGGCGAACGACAATTGAAAGAAAGATACACTGCAGTGCAATCTTTGCATGTTCATATTTAAAACCACTACTGAGACCAATAGGAATCTCTATGTTGCAATTGGTTTTGATCTGTATCAAGTTAACTATGGCAACGCTCACGTGCTCCATGACTGCAATTTACAAGACGAAAATACATATCTATATGTATTGTAGACAAACGGTTAATAGTTTCATAGTTTAATCGTGTTTGAATCGCTTAATACTTCAAATATAATCTTACTCCTATTATTTATTTTAAGTATAATTTCTCGCTCTTCTCTGAAATTAGTATGGAAATACGACTTTGTCGGACCAGTGAAATGCCGGCTTTTATTAGAAGCCAGATACGGGTGGCGTTAGAGGAATTTATTTCGAGCATTTGTTTATCCATACAGAGATTCAGAATAAGAAACAAGGTAGTGAGGCAGATCGGAGAGGGTGTGTGAGCCAACTTATTTGGACTAGGCGTGACTGAATATTTATAGTCAGACAAAATAGGTTACATGCATCTGATGAGTAGAGTAAGGGATTAACACACGCTCATATAAAAACGGTCAAGGTTAATAAGCGAATGACTGATAGTGTCAAAATTCGATTCAAGATGAATAGATAAGTCTGTCTGAATGCTAGAATAACTCATGTGGGCTGAACGGGGTACCAGCCACTGCAATCTTAACTGATCGACTGAACGTGGATCAATATCCCTTTTCCATCCAGTCTATCCTGCTCACACTCTAGAGTGTCTCTAAAACTTTATGGATAGTAATAATATGTATTATCGAAATAGTCATATCTACCATATAAACGTATATCATATTATTTATATACAGAATGTGTGTCAAGTGTAAGTATTATTGATTAAGGAATGAACTGAGGATTGCTTTTTCTAAATTCGCTCACTGCAAACGATAACGTAAGAGCATTTATACCAGCTGAGATTTGTTTCAGTTTCTAGTTGATCTGAAAATCGTTGGTATACCATACATAAACTGTTTGAAAACATATCAAGTTATTCGAGTTCAGCTTATACAATATTACGCCAGGGTGAACCAAAAGTGAGTCAACTTAACTGATCTGTTTTGAGATACACATATGCACAATCAACAACCTAATTGTGATACTACAAATATTATATATGCAGTACGGTTTGTCAAATAATCACACCGTGCACAGTTGGCATGACAGTGACGGAACATAAGTACTGTTAGCAAGATAAATCTAAAGACGTGACAGAACAAACACCTAAACAATGTTGATATCTTATTGTGGTGTTTTGATGAACTAATGATTCCGTTGTGCTTGTTGAATGCCTGCTTTCGAATTCCAAATACAGTACATTCGTTCGTGCTTATCTTGTACTTCTTGATCCGATTGCATCATTTCTAGGATTCTTAGTTCATACTATAAATCAAATACTTCTAATCATCACATGAATTTACACTGTTTTTTGAAATCGTTGATGAAAATAAATGATAATTATAAATACTCAACTTAATAGAATCAGAATTACAAGACTTAATATTAGTTGCAGCAAGATGTACAGTAGTATTACAAACTGATTGAATATATCTGATATCACCATATTTAAAGCATTCAGAATTACGGAATTTACATGAATTAAAAGAGTGAAACTTGCCACAGGACAAACATTGACCAGACTTGTGCCCATCTTCGTGAAAGGCATCACAACTCCTCAATGAATGATCTGCATAACCTTGAGTATGCACTGGGTTAGGGTGACGTGATGACGTGGAATTCTATGTATCCTCATGAATCATTTTACGAAATTTTCCTTTGCCTCATTTCTTGAGATCTGTATAAAGAAGTGAAATTAGTTTTTCCGGTAAAGTTAGAGATCTTAATAAGCTGTATGCTTCTTTTCCGATGAATATGAGAAAATGTGCTACAATATTAACATCCTCATCATCTTCCTTGGTCATAGTCCATATTTCGAACCTTTCAAAGTAATCCTCAAAAGCATAAAAAATGTATACCAAACGATTCCATCACAGGCTCCATCACGACGCCAATATGATGATTAGAAGTATTTGAATTATAGTATGAACTAAAAATCCTAGAAATGACGCAATTGGATCAAGAAGTACAAGATAAGCACGAACGAATGTACTGTATTTGGAATTCGAAAGCAGGAATTCAACAAGTACAAAGTAATCATTAGTTTATTCAAACACCACAACTTCTTGATCCAATCGCATTATTTCTGGGATTCTTAGTTCGTACTACAATTCAAATGCTTCTAATTATCACACTATGGTGCTTTTATGTTGATTGAAATACAACATAGTTGCTTATGAGATTGACCATTTGTCTATAGTTCTGACTCGTTCACTATGTTTTGGTTACCAACGCTTTTCATCCAAGTTACATAAGGAAAATATTTGCTAACTGTTTTTACATTGAACGCCAATTAACACGTGCACTACGATTTTTGTTTCGGATCTTTTTGGTTGCGGTTACATGTAATTCATACTTTGAGTTGTCACAAGTTGTGGGATGAAGAATAGAAAACTTAGAAGTCGAGATGTGAAAAACTGCATTCTCTTTGAACTGTAGCTTTACGAAGAGTGACTTCCTCTAGGAAAACCGCTCTATTATACTCGTCATCAACCTTACAGTATCATCACCGAGGGAATTTATAGACCTTCATGCACTATTATGCAAAACATATCATCAGTCATCGTTTTTTTTCCAAACTTGAACCAAGAGGCTTGCCACTGTGAAACCC